TTTTTTGCCCACTTGATGGGGGGGCGTCTTTGGGCTCTTTGAAAGTTTTTCAACTTTATCTTTTAACTCTTCCATGACTTTTTTTATTTCAGCGTATTTTAAATTTCAAAGAGTTTCTTCTTGTTCTCTGGTTGTTCCTCTCATACAGTAACTTGTTCTTATTTTATGAATGCAATATCTCCTTATATCTTAAATACTAAATTTTTTTTTTAAAGATTTTATTTATTTGACAGATACATAGCGAGAGAGGGAGCACAAGCAGGGGGAGTGGGAGAGGGAGAAGCAGGCTTTCCGCGGAGCAGGGAGCCCGATGCGGGGCTCGATCCCAGGACCCCAGGATCATGACCTGAGCCGAAGGCAGACACTTAACGACTGAGCCACCCAGGCGCCCCAATATTAAATTTTTCTTAAAAAGCAGATTTCTCACTTGGCATTTGGAGGCCTGAGCTCAAGTCACAGCCAATGGCCAGATTTAAGGAGGATGATAAATCACCTTTCTCACTCCTTTAAGTTCTGATTAGAATTATAAACCGGACTCTGAAAGATGGAGGTAAAATTAACAGCTTTTAGTCAGTAAAGCCAGTGTAGAGAACATACTGTAGCTGGACCTGCAACCAAGATGGCCTTGCTGCCATCTGCCCCGAATCTAGACCTTGAGATCCGTCTATGGTGTGGTGTTCTGCAAGGTAAATACTTAATCTGCTCAGCCTACTGAAGGAGACATTGCTGCCCATCACTCAAAAGCACCAAGAACAGGGACAGAGAGACTGAAGTCACAAATACACCTGTTGGGTTTTTTTTTTAAGTTTATTTGTTTTTAGTAATCTCTATACCCAACATGGGTCTCAAACTCACAACCCCAAGATTAATAGTCTCGTGCTCTTCTGATTGGGGCAGCTAGGTGTCCCACAAATGTACACTTTTTTTTTAAAGGTTTTATTTTTTTAAGTAACCTCTACACCCAATGTGAGGCTTAAACTTAAACAACCCCGAGATCAAGAGTTGCATGCTCCACTGACTGAGCCAGCCAGGTGGCCCTTCACTTGGTTTTTAACTCATGTATGGCACTCATTTTAAACATGGGAATCGGGGATGCCTGGGTGGCTCGGATGGTTAAGCATCTGCCTTCTGCTCAGGTCATGATCCCAGGGTCCTGGGATCAAGCCCCACATCGGGCTCTGTGCTCAGCAGGGAGCCTGCTTCTCCCTCTGCCTGCCTGTCTGCCTACTTGTGATCTCTCTCTCTGTCAAATAAATAAAATCTTTAAAAAAATAAACATGGGAATCAATGTTGAACTCTTGACATTCACCAATCAGGAATAAAAATCCTCTTCATTAGCAGAAACAACCTCATGGAAATGTAAGAATAGGGTTTCCTCTGTCACAGAGTTTTCCGATTTGTTCTAAAAAAAAATTTCTTTTAGGGGTACCTAGCTGACTCAGTCTATAGAGCCCTACATTGGGTGTAGAGATTACATAAAAATAAATAAGCCACATTTATTTCCTACATAATCCATTCTATTATTTGCCCATTTAACTTGTATTCTCCCTTTCATGATGAAGCCTTTCTCCATGTGTCTGGTGATACCTAAGTGTCCAGGTTTTAGAGCAAAGTACTAAAAAGTTTATTGAAGTTCTGAGTGTATAGGTGGATTTCATCTGGTGGAACTTTTTCTGTAAAAGGCCAGAAAATAAGTATTTTAGTCTTTACAATCATATAGTCTATGTAGCAACTATTCAATTCTGCCACTGATGCACAGTGTGGATAATGTGTGCATGAACGGGCAGGTTGTTTCAGTAAAACTCTATTTCAGGGCACCTGGGTGGCTCAGTCAGTTAAGTGTCAAACTCGAACTCTGCTCAGCTCTTGATCTCAGGGTCGTGAGTTAGCCCCGCATTGGGATCCACTCTGGGCGTGGAGCCTGCTTAAGAAACAAACACGTTTATTTCCAGGAGGAGAGAGTAGACCAGGTTTGCTGACCTCTGCTCTAAGGTGATCAGCTAGAAAGCTGGACTGCTGCCCAAGATAATTGTTTTTTAACCCTACAGAGAAATTTTCCCTTCAGCTAGGCAACTTCTGTCACAGATCTTGGCCGCCATTCCACACATCTAGAAAAAGGCTGGGCCATTCATTCCCAACTTACAAACCAACTTTATCTAACAAGGATTTTTTTCTAATAAGGATTTTTCCTCTCACTTATTACCCAGATTCAATATTTGCATGGAAGCAAAAACATTAGTTTCCACCAGTGCCCCCTTAATGGCATAGGACCATATAGTCCAGATGCTGAAAACGAATGGTTAGGGTATATGCAATGCTTGAAAGGAAAGTGGAGTTCTGGAGGGCTTACCCAGTATGACTTCGGAGCAATTATCAAAATACATTTTCCTTTTTCTCATATTTCCTCAGCAAGGTCCAAGGTTTGATTTCTTTTTTAAGATTTTATTTATTTATTTGAGAGAGAGAGAGAGCACAGAGGGAGAGGGAGAAGCAGACTTCCCCACGGAGCAGGGAGCCCGATGTAGGGCTGGTTCCCAGGACCCTGGGATCATGACCTGAGCCAAAGGCAGATAGATGCCTAACCAACTGAGCCACCCAGGCACCCCGTCAGTGTTTTTTTTTTTTTTTTTTTAAAGATTTTATTTATTTATTTGACAGAGATAGAGAGCACAAGTAGGCAGAGAGGCAGGCAGAGGGAGAGGGAGAAGCAGACTCTCTACTGAGCAGGGAGCCCGACGCGGGGCTCGATCCCAGGACCCCGGGATCATGACCCGAGCCGAAGGCAGCCGCTTACCCGACTGAGCCACCCAGGCGCCCCGTCAGTGTTTATTTTTTTTTGGCGTAACCCAAGTCAGTGTTTTAAATCCAGGTCCACGTATATAGCTTCTTGGCAGCAGCTTTGAGCTTCCTTTGCTGGTGGATTCCAAGCTCAGCCAGAATACTTTGGTTTAGTGATGCATCATGCTAAATGCTGTATTACCTCTTCTAATAAAAATGTAAGCAAAGTAAGATTCAGTTTTGAGAAATTGGGGAACACTTTTGATAACTAGAGGTATTTACCAAGCATGCTGTTTAAAATCTATATATGGAAACTGCTTCCCTTTAGTCCATGTATGGAGGGGATGAAGTCTAGACCCTTCCTTAGAAGGAGCTAAAACACTCATTTGGATGATTCCTCTGTGTTCAGATACACTAAGCAAAATCATCATGTTGCAGTTTTTTGAAGACTGAGGACATACTCAAGCTAGGGGTTGAGACTACCTAGGATTATCTGTCCTCTGCTGATACTGTCTGCCCTTGTTCCTTCCTCATTTTCAGGTTGACTATACTGATGTTCCCCAAGAGACGACTTCTACTTCCACCTATGACAGAGTAACCGCCGACTAGTTTGCCTGTCTCAGCCATAGAGCTGTCAGACATTGGACAACGTGCAGCACAAAACAGTGATCGTGGAGAAAAGGGAAACTCATGGGTAAGTCTCGTGAATGCCTCGCTGTCTACTTAAGGGTATTATTCTGATGACTCAACATAATGAGCTAGAGTCCAAGCACGCCACTGTGGCCCTACGAAGCTGAAGCGGTAGAGAGCAGGGTTCAGGGTTGTCACAGTGGCTGGAATCTGCAGGGAGGGCAACAGAGAGAAGGAAGCTGCACAGAGAGGATCCCCAGAAGCCTTTGTGCAGACAGGGTTGAGCTGCTCGTATCAGTACGAGAGTACCTGAGGCGTACCAGAAGTACTCACTACAAGATCGAGAGCCAACAGACATACCAGAGGTGGAGCTCTGCTGGGGGATGAGGGAGGCCCGGCCCACCTTGTTAGCACCTCAGTGATACTCCAGGCCTCCAGTCTAGACACCATAAAGGCCCATCTTAGAAGTAAAGATCTTGCCCTAAATAAGGGCTACAAAAAAATACCCTTCAATAATGAGGGTAAAATCTAGAATTCTGTCAATGAAACCTGAAAGAATTGCCAGAAGATCTGTACTATAAGAAATGCTAATGATCTTCAGGCTGAAGGGAAACTAGATAGAAATTTGATCTACAGGAAGAGATGAAAAGCACTGGAAATGATAATTGCCTTAAAAGACAACTGAATGTTTAAATCAGAACAGGAGCCGGCAGGTAAAAGGGATTATACTATTGTAAAACTCCTTTATTTCTGAAGTGGTGTGAACTGTCGAGTTGGTAAGTTAAGGGCGCACATTGTTAGTCCTAAAGCAGTTCTCAAACTCTTTATATTCATAAAAATTATGGAGGGTCCTAAAGAGCTTTTGTGTATGTGGGTATATCTGTGAATATTTATCATGCTACAAATTAAAACTGAGAAAAGTGTTTAAATTTTTTTAATTACGGTGACCCATTCGTTTATTTTTAGGGAGAGAGAACGCGCACAAGCGCTCACACACATGTGCACGCACACAGAGGGCAGAGGGAGAATCTTTTTAAAGATTTTATTTGTTTGACAGAGACACAGTGAGAGAGGGAAGACAAGCAGGGGGAGGGGGAGAGGGAGAAGCAGGCTTCCTGCTGAGCATGGAGCCCGATGCGGGGCTCGATCCCAGGACCCCGGGATCATGACCTGAGGAAGGCAGATGCTTAATGATGAGCCACCCAGGCACCCCTGCAGAGGGAGAATCTTAAGCAGACTCCATGCCCAGCTGTGGAGCCCAGCATGGGCCTCTATCTCACGACGCTAAGATCATGACCTGAGTCAAAATCAAGAGTCGGACACTTAACCAACTGAGCCACCCAGGCACCTCCCATTCAATGTTTGTAACACATATTTACAAAAGTAACTATTTTCCAAAACAAAACTTAGAAGAGTGGCACTGTTCTATAGTCTTACAAATCTCTTGAATGTCTGGCGGAATTCTCATACGTGCTTCTGCAATCAGCCTGTTGCAGGATGTTGTTCTGGCTGAAGGACATAAAAACAATCTGGCCCCACACAGGTATGTAGTTGGAAAAGGAGGCATATTTAATAGCTTTTTCAGACAACAGTATTCTTTGATACTACACCAAAAATTGACAAATGAGTGAAGGTTTTCAGTTTCTTCTCATTAAAATTATCATCTCCAAAATGATGACATTATTTGGGGGCAACACTAGAAACTACCCAGGTTTCTGCACCATGGTCTTTACAAAGTTAACATGAGCCTTCTGGAGTCAGGAGTTCTATTTCCCATTCAAAGTGTTCTTCCCTGGTTCTTTCTCCAAGGCTTCGCAGGCTGCAGGGCACAGGACAGGTGGAAGGTGGTTGGTTTCTTTTCACTCAGGAGCCAGGCCGGCCCAGGTGACTTTTAGGCTGTGTTCTAAAATGGAGTTCATTATCGAATCTCAGCGTGAGACTGTGACTTTCTTCTCAATTTTTCCATCAGGTTTATCCATATAAGGTTGTTTCTCAAAACTCAGGGGGTAGTAAAGAAGGAGACGAAACAGAAGATTTTTATTTGAAAGTAACTTAAATATTATGTAAACTTGACAGGTACTCTTCATTTTTTCATCATTTAAAAAATTGTGTCTGAAGATAGATCAAATGCAAAAGCATGTCACAGATCTATAGTTAAACAACCCTTTACCCATGAAGGCAAAATTATTGAGAAGTGTTTATTTTCCCTCTTGAAATGGCTAATCTGGGTAATAATATGGCTGCAGGTGTATATTTACATTGCTTCCTTCACTGCTTTTCTCTTTCAAACACACCAGTCTTTCAGAACTACTGTCACTGAAGCGCCGGCCTTTGTTTGGCAACAGAATGATACTCGGGTCTTACAGGTCCAAGGCCCAGTGGACAGACAGACTCTTATCCTCCACGCTGGCCACCATGTCTTCAACGACATTCCAGTCAAGCTTGCTGAGGATGCTGCTGGTGCTCTCAGACATGCCGTCCGTGCCATGGAAAGGAAGCTCTAGCTCTTCTTCAGCTGCTGACAAGTCCTATCAAAGTAAGAAAGGCAGTAAGTTGTGGTCTGAGCCTGAGAAGAAGTAAATGGAACATGAACTAAGCTTTCCAAAGATTCTAGAGTTGCTCATCCACCAACTGGTGAAGCAAACCAGGGCGGTGTTTGCCCAGCACATCTGGATGGACAATGGCCTGAACATCATCTGACACAACCAGATCTGAAAAATGGACACAATGGATTTTTATACTCATAATACAATTATCTGTTCTTTGTTATTCTTCAGTTGAAAGGAAAATACAAATTCAAGGAAAATTCTGAAAGATAAATGCTAGAGTACTAAGCCAAAAGTGTAGACGCTTTGAATTACTACTTCAATCTTGCAGGATCTCCACATCCCACAGAAAACAATAAGCAACAACAACCGGATGACATAGAGAAGTCACTAGGCAGACTGAAATCTGGAATAACACTTACTTGTAGAAGGGAACTATGACTCTCATGAAGAATTGTTCGGATGTGTGACGGTACCATCCAGGGACTCACCATGGTCTCCTCTCTCTCGTACTCTATACACACCTGCTTTGATCGAGGTGAAAGCTCAGCACTAATGTGATTTTTTGTACACTGCAGACGACATGGAGCACCAGAACCTTTCAAGGGAAAAGGACAAAGCTACGGGGGACTGATTCATTTATAAGCTTGTTTGTTTATTCTGACTTTTATCATCAAATCCAAGACAGTCACATTCTACATAATATTTAAAGTTTTTTTTTTTTTAAGATTTATTTTTAAGAAATCTCTGTACTCAACAGGGGGCTCGAACTCACAACCCAGAGATCAGGAGTCGCACACTCCACCAATTGAGCCAGCCAGGGGCCCCTTACCGAATAATCGAATCACAAGGTTTAGATATGGTTTTAACAATTTCTGCCCTGTCAGTGTGATAGAAGGAAACTGAATTCTGGCCATCTCTTCATTTTAAAAAGAACAGTAACCTGTAGGACAAGAGAGTCCAGGGCGGAGAGGCCGCAGACATAACAGAACTGTGGAGAAGTTCCAGCTGCAAAGTTTGGTGAACAAACACTGTGGCGAAAAAGAAAACAGCCAGCTCAGGGCGCCTGGGTGGCTCAGTCGTTAAGCATCTGCCTTCAGCTCAAGTCATGATCCCAGGCTCCTGGGATCGAGTCCCACATCGGGCTCCTTGCTCAGCGGGGGGTCTGCTTCTCCCTCTCCCTCTACCTGCTGTTCCCCCTGCTTGTGCTCTCTCTCTGTCAAATAAATAAAATCTATAAAAAAGAAAGAAAAAGAAAACAGCCAGTAAAACAGAACAGCTTGAGACTGAAGGATGACAAAGAGAGAAACCACCAAGTGGTTAAGCAGTAAGATAACCACGAGGGCAGGCCTTCTCCAGAGCAGACAGAAACTCGTGGGGCCGGGGAGCTGAGGCGGCTGCCCCAGGTGTTCAGGCTGTGAAAGGGCAGAACAGCTGTAACCACCAACTAATCCCAGCCCCACTTCCGCCACAGTTAATTTGGTAACCAGACTTCGATACTCATCAAATGAACATAATTACTGCAATCTAAAAAGAATGACAAAATCATCACCAAAATTAAGAAACTAAGGTGAACAGTCCTGCACTTTAGGATGAACCTTTGCCTGTGGGGAAGGCACACACCTTGGGAAGCTGTCTGGCTTTCTCTCACCTTGCTTCCTGCAGGGATGGCCTTGTAATTTTCTTCTCTTCAGATCGGAGTGCATTTCTCCAGGCTTTGTTCGGGATAGCCAATCTTAAAATACAGTATGAAAACAATACTGTGAAACTGAGCACGTGCAAAGCTTTTCAAGTCTGGGCGTTCGTGCCCCAGTGCGGACAGTGGACGCGTTCTAAGGTAAAAGGTCAGTGATACATCAGGAAGAAACCCCACTGTGGAAACTAGGCCGGCAAGTGCAGCAGCTTCCCTTAAAGCAGGACAGTGGCCACCGCCCCCGTTTCTTTATGAAGCATACTGCCAAACAGTGTCTATGGAGTCCTGCCTGAGGAATCTGAAACTGAACAGCAAAACTGAATCCATTCCTTGTTCCACCCCCAGAAGAAAACCCTGTTCCTCCGCTTGCCGCTCCTGTGTCTGATCCTGGGCCACACTCTAGACCCACAGCCAAGCTAGAAACTTGGAGTCATATTTAATTTCATCCTATTACAGGCAGGGCTACCCCTGGACAATGAAAGAAGTACTTCTGTTCGCCTTTCTATGGGCAAGGCCTCACGCTGGATCATAATTCACTTTGCAAAACCCTGGCTCTCTGGAGCTTTCATAAATATAATATCAGTGTACACAGAATTTCAGCTATTTTCAGGGGCAACACTGTATTTGGGGGTATTTTATCTGTTAAACGAACATTGCTAGATATTTGTTTAGAAAATAATAAAATAGCTTTGGGGTACTCTAAACTAGAAAACACTTTATAAAAGATTAAAATGGAGACTTTGAAAGAAAAAAAAAAGTCTGGGATTATACAACTAAAAGCACAGGAAATGATGCTTCTAGCACTCAAACTGATCCTAGTAATTACAGCCTTGGGTTTTAAGGCATTGAGTGGGGGAAAACCATGGAAAAAGAACCAAAGAGAATTTCTAGGAAATACAGCCATCAACAGTAAAACACCTGACAGGTTAAAGAGCAGACGCAGCTGAAGAGAGAGGCGGTGAACTGGAAGATGGTGGCACTGGAGAGAGGCCTGAGGGCAGGAATAGACTCTTTCATGTTTCTCATCATTTTTATATTACATATAATCAGTGTTTGCGTCGTTGTCCCTACCAAAATGTAGTTCTTTCTGTAAATCAGGATAATGCCATAGAGCTCACTCAGTTAATGTGAGGATAAGTGAGATCATGAACAGGCAGTGTTAATACAATGCTCGGCATCAAGCATCAATTCCCTAAGCCTCCCTGGCTTCAGCAGGAAGACGGGGATCACAGGTGCCCTATCTATCTACCAGGGCCGTTACGGAGAGCTCACGGGAGAATCATGTGAACGTACTTTTTAAATGGTGAAGAGTAACACGGGGCGAGGGGTGGGCCAGGGCTAGATCTGAATTCTTAGGCATTAAGATCATGACCATTTCACTCTCTAGCTAATTTAGAATCCCCAAACTTAAGGGTCTGTGTGCTGCATGACTCTGTGACAATGGCCCCCTCTGAATACTTGTGTTTATGTTCAGTACTCTGCTAAGCCCATAATATATGTTCTCACTCTAATAATCTGGAGTTCGCAGGTGAGAAAGTTGAGGCTGACACAAATGGGTCAGGAATTTGCCCAGAGCTCGAGAGTAAGTGGTGAACTACGATTCTCAAGAGCTAACTCCGCAGCCTGTTCCCTAAACCACTCTACCACACCGCCATACCCTTCATTCTGCAATCTGTATTTGAAATTTCTAAGAGGGTCTTACAATTTTTAAAAATTTAAGTTGAAGAAATAAAGTTATTCTCTATTTCTCCCTTACCTTTCTGGAAGGTAACTGGAGATGGCACAGCCGCTCTTACTGCCACTTTGGCTCCAGCACCTTTCCTCTGTACGGCAGAAGTAGCAGTTCCTGTAGAAACAGGCAAACTTCTTTAACCTTCTGTATGCGGCCATGATGTTTCACATACTGTACTGTACATTCTTTGAAGACAGAAACTACTGATTAGGAGGGTGCCCAATATATGGTGGTTGATTTGAACCAAGAAAGCAAAACAAAAGTGCAGATGAAGGAAGGGAAAGCTCTCCTTTGAAACTTGGTATCCTCATAGCAGGACCATGGTCCTTTCTCAAACTGGCAAATGTGCCTTCACAACCTCTTGGGCAACTGGAAAAGCCAGCCACATACGCCTATTAGCAGGAAACACCTTGACAGAATGCCAGGTTAGATGTTATCAAAAGAATGATTCACTAAGATTTCTTAAATTCCAGGATTAATAACCACCATTTATTATTTATGTTATGCAAAAGTTTTACTCTTTACCTTCAACACCCCTATGAGTTAGGTTTTAAATAACATAATTGAGGGCACCAAGTAAGCAGCAGAGCTGGGATATGAAAATAGGCCTGGATGATTCGAAAGGCTGGAACTTTTTTTATGTTTTTGATGCCTCTCAGTTACTTATCATATAGCCTTTATATTGTTTTTGATAGAACTAAACATAAAACAAGCCAAAAAAAAAAAAGGGAGATCTCTAAGTATAATAGCTTGCATCGGGGCTGGAGATATTTGCCAGAAACGACACACTGCTTTACAAGACAGACAACAACATATAGTCAGACACATAAGCATCTTCAGAAAAACTCTTCTTTTACAAACGAGCTGCAGTGAACTTAAAAGTCTTGGTGAGTCCTCACTTCCCCATCTGCACTGACTGAACTGCCTCACGTGGGCCCCGGGGATCTGCGTCACCAACTAGGGGAGGGCCTGGGATCCACCATGCCTGCATTTCTCCCACTGCCCCACAGTCCTGGGGGACCTGAAGCCTCGGAATGTAGCCAGGGGAAACGCTGGGTTCTGGGGGTGGTAGAGGTCACACTGAGGCGCAACCTGGATAGAAGCCAGCATGGTCACCAACCCCTCCAGTTGCCTTTGTCTCTCCGCTTCTGGGGAAGCTAAGGGACAGGTGAGCTGGGATGATGGCGAGTTACACGGTGGTCTTCTCGGACATAGTATGAATACAACAGTAGTTTAGCTTTTCTGACTAAAAATAGTAGTTTATAAATAGCTATTTTTAGTCAGAAAAGCTAAACAGCCATTTTTTTCATGTATCCAAGTATTCAATAATCTCATTTGTTCAATGTGAGTGGTATACCAGATAGAGAAGACAGTGTTGCTACCTTCAAAAGATTCAGTCTAGCATGGGACAAAAGTGGGACAAGTGGGCGCCTGGGTGGCTCAGATGGTTAAGCGTCTGCCTTCGGCTCAGGTCATGATCCCAGGGTCCTGGGATCGAGTCCCACATCGGGCTCCCTGCTCCTTGGGAGCCTGTTTCTCCCTCTGCTTCTCTCTCTCTCTGTCTCTGTCTCTTGTGAATAAATAAATAAAATCTTTAAAAAAAAAAAAAAAAGTGGGACAAGTTTACCAGTGACTACGTGAGACCTGGGGCAGCAACGCCTAAGACTCACCAACGTTGACCAGGCGGCCAGAGGACACAAATAAATGGCAGCAAAGGCAGCTGAGACAGTTGTCGCTGATACAACCACCAGGCCAGTTAAGTATTGGCCCCAATTTAAAATTCATGACATCAGTTTAGAAGAACTGAAGAATTAAGATGAGGGATGGCTTCCAAAACACAGAGGTGAGGCATTCAAGGTGAGGGAGACTTTTGAGGGGAGGGAGGGGTGCCAAGCACAGCCTGTGGCTGGAAAGCAAGCTGGCTCGCAGCACCTGTGAGATGGGGGAAAGGGGCTAAGAAGGCAGAGGGGGAGGCTGCCCCGAAGGCCGGGGATGAGCTCTGGACTGGGCTGTGTGGGGTGGGGGTCCCTGAGGGCTTCTGAACCCAGTGTGCAGGAGCACCTCTCGAGGACAGTCCAGCAAGGGCAGGGAGCCGACCAAAGAAGGGCCGAGGCCTCAGTCCAGGCGAGTGCAGCGTAACCATGCAGGCCTGACACTGGACAGACCCAAGACAAAGACACATTTCCACAGAATCCAAGACTTTTCCATCTGATATTAAGAAACTGTGGATTCGGGCGCCTGGGTGGCTCAGTTGGTTAAGCGACTGCCTTCGGCTCAGGTCATGATCCTGGAGTCCCGGGATCGAGTCCCGCATCGGGGTCCCTGCTCGGCGGGGGGTCTGCTTCTCTCTCTGACCCTCCCCCCTCTCATGTGCTCTCTCTCATTCTCTCTCTCAAAGAAATAAATAAAATCTTTTAGAAAAAAGAAACCGTGGATTCAAGTTTAAAATCCTTCCAATTTTTGGTATTTCTTTAACTTTGGCAAATGTATCAGGTGTAAAATAAAAATTAAAAAAAGAAAACATGGTTACTATTTTGAAATCTTAGTTTAAAAAGAGCACTGTTTTCTTATTGTAATTTGTTAATCAAGAGCAAGAGTTAAACAATGAAGTTTTATTAAGAGGACTGGAATTTATGGAAATTTCAATTTTCTAAATTGAGGCAGCATAATAAAGCGTAGGTTCTAAGTGTGTAGCCTCTAGACCCAGACTGAGTTTAAATCCCAGCTCTGCTACTTCCGAGCTATCTGATCTTAGGCAGTTATTTCAACTTTCTCTGCCTGGGTTTTCTCAAATGGGAACATTTGTAACTAAAGAGTGTAACCAGAACCTGGCATGTTAGTTTTTATACAGCTAAAAGCTGTCTGCATTTATACCACATATTAACTATGATTATACGTTTTTTAAAGATTTTCTTTATTTTTAGAGAGAGAGTGCGAGCAGGGGGAGGAGCAGAGGGAGAACCCCAAGTAGACTCCACACTGAGTGCAGAGCCTGATGTGAGGCTCAATATCATGACCCTGAGATCATGACCTGAGCCAAAATAAAAAAGCCAGACACTTGGGGCACCTGGGTGGCTCAGTCGTTAAACGTCTGCCTTCGGCTCAGGTCATGATCCCAGGATCCTGGGATCGAGCCCCGTGTCGGGCTCCCTGCTCAGTGGGGAGTCTGCTTCTCCTTCCCCCTCTGTGCTCTCTCTCTCTCAAATAAATAAAAAATCAAACAAAAAAAGCCAGACACTCAACCGCCTGAGCCACCCAGGCGTCCCTATGATTATACATTTTTAATGTGTAATCATTTCACAAAATAAGTATGTTTTACTCTGGCAATCAAAACCCAAATATGGCAAAATTAACTAAAGGAAGGCTAGCAATAAATAACAGATATTGTATCTTCAAATGTGGAAAAGGATGTTCAAAAGGTAAAAACATGGTATTTCAATATGAGCCTCATAGTATTCCTCTTCTGTGATATCCTGATACCTATCTATCTAAGTCCATCCTGACATCTATAAGAACTTGATCTGTAAAAATGCCTACCTCTTTAGCCAGACACACAAAAGAAACAGATTCCCAAATAAGTCTTATCTAAATATTGACTGTTCAAGTTTTATTATAAAAAGGCCATTTGTTTAAGATTTCTGGAGTCTTCCTGGGCGCCTGGGTGGCTCAGTTGATTAAGTGACTGCCTTCGGCTCAGGTCATGATCCTGGAGTCCCTGGATCGAGTCCCGCATCGGGCTCCCTGCTCGGCGGGGAGTCTGCTTCTCCCTCTGACCCTCCCCCCTCTCATGTGCTCTCTCTCAAATAAAAATAAATAAAATCTTAAAAAAAAAAAAAAGATTTCTGGAGTCTTCCTATTTCAAAGCAATAGAACAAACAAAATCCCAGCATAGGTAAGTCTTTATCAATCCTGCAACTTGTATTCTGCTGGAATGAGAACTGCTTTTCACTAAGATTTCATTTTACTAATGAAAACCAACTCTGGAGACAAGGAGGTCCAAATTATACAAAATTTACAATTTTAAAAAAGCTTAAAGTCTTACCACGTGACCAAGGAGGGCCTTGAGGTTTCCCCTTTCGGATGTAACTTGGTCTGGATATATATTTGAATTTTCCAGGTTGATTTATTGGAATATTGTGACCATATTGATTCTCTCTAAAGTAGAAATTACATAATTATTATATTCCTAGAATCTCATATTCCTAGAAACCTTGAGGTTTCCCCTTTCGGATGTAACTTGGTCTGGATATATATTTGAATTTTCCAGGTTGATTTATTGGAATATTGTGACCATATTGATTCTCTCTAAAGTAGAAATTACATAATTATTATATTCCTAGAATCTCATATCAGTAATGAACTACATTTCAAAAGACCCAAATTCTAGCTCAGATTAATACATTCACTTGACATTGCTTATTCTGTACCTTAGTGATACATTTCGTGTTATAACAATTCTCAACAAATTATTCTTCATGTCTCACACCTTAAACTTGTTTCTTTCAAAGAAATTGTTTTTGGTTATCTGTCCATTTCAAATTATCTATGTATTTGGCAGTTATTTATGTATTTAATACCCTGCTTTATATTAGAAAAGATTCAAGGGAGTCTCTGGTATTTTGAGTAGACCCCAAATTATACACACACAAGTGATCTGATTACATGTGGGTTTGTGTTGAGAAGAGACAGAGAAGAAGTGATAAGCTGGTGAGGACTGTTTCTGTAAGAGTAGAGCCAAGTGGAGAAACAGGGAGAACAGTTACGTGGCAGATTACAGAAAAGGAGGAAATGGAATTGAACGGGTATCAAAATTGTATTAGGTATGCCAAAGTGCTTTGTCATACCTTAAGAGATGTAATGACATTGTTATCTTTTTCCTTGGTGATTCTATAAACTTATCAAGACGTCATAATTATGGGACCATGTTTTTCTTGATTTTCTTATTTCTGAGCATGGTAGATGCAAATACACTGAACTTGGGTGACAAAAGCACTAAATTCTTATCAGGCCTGACATAATCTTGCTGAACAACATGCCAAACTCTGTCTTACCTTCTTGGAGAAAGAGAGTGTTGCTCTCGGGAAATGTGAGCAGTTCTGGGTTTGTTAGGCAAGGCTTTCTGTGCAGTTGTTGGTAGTTGTACTGATTCAGATAACAGTTCATTCATCAGACTATATGCTTGTGAGATCCGCCGACTATAGTGGTCAGAGAGTAGCAATCTTCAGACAAAGAATTAAACAACATTTAATAAAAGAGTCATTTTCAGTTCATACCTCTAGAGGGAACGTAATGTTTGAAGATCACCTAGCATTTGTTTTTTTCAATGCTTTTCAAATGCAAATTCATATTTCAGATTTCTGAAATCGATTAGGCAGAAATTAGTAAAGGTACCTGTAGTTATGACCCTTTGGGTATTTTCCAAAATGCACATACATATCTGGATTGGGAGAAGGAGGGCAATAGCAGAAATAAAAATCATGAAAATTTCAATGGAATAAATGATATTTGAAAGCAAATTCCTAAAAAGCCTAGTAGAGTCTATTTTCCTTGCAGTTATCTCTCATAAATTTCTGTTTATGGACAAAAAGGGGTTACTGTGAAGACTAGAGTTCCTCAGGCATTGTCTGTACCTCAGGTGTGCAAACTGGAAAGCGTGCTGGGGGTCCAGCTACCCAGGCTCACCTGTCCTTCTCGTTCTTCATCTTCTGTCTCAGCCTGATTTCCCGTGAAGTCATGTAAAACTGCATGAGAAATACCCAGTTAGTCCATTATGGTTCAGTTCAAATAATTAAACCCTTGTGATCCATGGGAAACATGAAAATTCCACTAATCAATTTTAATAGGAGGTTAAAACATATTTTTGCTATTCAGGAAACAGTGCAAAACACGGTCATATTTGATGAAGCTTCCTATCCCAAGCACCAAACACGAAAATGTTAAAGCATCATGTAATTAAAAACTAGTTTAATAAGTAGAATGCTAAATTCATGTATTTTCTCAAGAGAGAACCTTATCAGCTGCATTTATTTTAATTTAAATTCAATTAATTAACATATAGTGTCAGCTGCATTTAAAATGGGAAACATTTTAAGGATGAAGACACATACACTTCATACTCAGTCTTGTGATTATTCTCACTAACAGTGTGCTTGATAAAGCAGAAAGAAGTCAGACCTCTAAAGCTATCATTTTGATGTTTTAAAATGTCTACCAGTCACCTAATGTAGTATGTTCACTGCGACTTGAAAACTCCTCAAAACTTATGCACCAGGAGGCAAACTAGCAAGTGTCTTATTCCAGAATATTAAGAGTTACTACTGAGTTACGAATGAAGTCAAGTCCTTTTACACAAAATTTTGTATATAAAAATGTGCACACAGAAGTGCATGCACTCTCTGTAGGTCCTACATGGAAGCAGTGAGTGACAAATTAAAGGTCTTATTAATTTCTGATATAAATTCAAATGAAATTTTTAATCACATTAACCCCTCACTAATCCCATACCTTCACCTAAATAGAAGCTAAAAATAAACAGGTGCTTGCAGTTGTGAAGGAACAGTCAAAAAGTCAAAGAACCAAGCAATCCCAGTGCCCTCAGAGTTAATTTGTTCTAAATTTGGACACAATTCTAACTATCTGGGGTATTTGCTTGGTTGACAGAGAGGCCGATATCAGAACCCCCTGCCTGGCGGGGGAGGAGCACACACATAAACACATGCACTTGAAGCTTCTAGTCAGGTGCCTCAGCAGCCTTGATGGTCATTACCAGGTCCTTAAAACTCTCCACACAATGTTGTATTAACATCAGGGCACCCGGGTGGCTCAGTCGGTTAAGCCTCCACCTCTTGATTTTGGCTCAGGTCATGATCTCAGGGTCTTAGGATTCTATCCCTTTCTCTCTGCCCCTCCCTCCCACTCGTGTGTATATACGCGAGCACATGCTCTCTCTCTCTTAAAAAAAAGTTATATTAACACCAACATGCTTTCTCTAGACACAAGTTAAGTATGCAATTTATGTACTAGTTCACCTACTTTTGCACCACTTGGTGTTTAAATGTGATAGCCATATCTGGAAAATTCACTTTTATAGAACATGTTCCCCTAACGATGTCGAAAAAGATTAAGTACATTGTATTTTATTTCCAATTACAAAGTAAAAGATAAACTAAGTATAATTCAAATGCAATTTTCATAGTAATGTGATTATCAAAGTAACATTGCTTTATTTCACCTTCTGAAGAAAACTGCTTCTGACCAGCCACGGTGATGCCCCCGGTCAGGGCTCAGTGCATACATGTGGACAGTTTAAAGGGCAGCTGACACACATGCACACGCCACTGTACCCTTGGTACCTGACTGAACCATACTCTATTTTTTGTAGATAACTTGTGGATACAAAATTATTTTTTTAAATGGCTTTACTACACACAGTCAGTTGTTCAACTGCCACTGACTCTCACTGAAAATTAAGGGAACAGCTCCAACTGGTCACCAATCACTCAAGTCTCTTCACTTGGTTAAAATCAGCGAGAGCCATAATTAGCCTGGGGAAGAAAAAGTATTTAAGATAGCTCAACAGAACATGGTTTGTAGAATACCCTGCTATGTTTTGTTAAGGTAATTAACATTTTCTGACAAGTAAAATGGTGACATTTCTGTTTAATGAAAAATGCATCCAAATTACGTCAATCCTTTTCTTGAATATTTGCCAGGGAAACACTGCACGTATTCAGTGCTATCCCACTGCCCATTGCCCCTGATATTGCACACTTACTGGATTGCTCCTTGGGCAGAAAGGGTCATGTTCTTGCCCTCTCTTCTCCGCCAGCTGGTTTAAGTACTCTGCCATTCTTTCCTTGCGTTTTCTTTTCATCCACACCTGAATTTCTCTTCTTTCCTTCTCAGTTCTTTGTGTTCGTCTACCAGAAGAATGCTGAATTCTGAGAAATTTAACAGACAGGTCATCACTTGATTTTACATTTTTTATGGATCTAAGTAAACTAAATACTGTTTATTTGGAAAGGGATTTTTTTTTAAAGATTTTTTTAAAGTAATTTCTACACCCAACATGGGGCTTGAACTCAAAACCCTGAGATCAAGAGTCACACGTGCCACCGACTAAGCCGGTCAGCCGCCCCTGTTTGGAAAGATTTTTCCCATTCTCAAAAAGTAGTATACATTCATGTCTCTATCGACTTGCACCAACCTGTTCCCTGAAATCCACTGAAAATGATCTCAGAAAGCTCATCAACCACGACATCAAAAACTAATGATGTACTGTATGGTGACTAACATAATGTAATAAAATAATAAAATAAGAAGAAATTAAAAAGAAATAACAAAAAAAAAAAAGCTCACCAACAAGAAAAAAAGAAAGGAAAAGAAAGAAAAGGAAAGCAAAGCAAAGCAAAGCAAAGCAAAGCTCATCAATAGCCTCTTCATCCTACTGGACTTCTCTATAACATTTAATACAACTGGCTCCTCTTTTCTCTTTCATGGGTCTTATTCTAACTCTGAAAACACTGTGCAGCCTCCTACGTTGGCTCCTTTCATCTCTGCTCACCATTTCAATATTAATGTCTTATTAAAAGTTCTGTTTTGGACTTCTTCACCAATCCTCTTATTCCTGGACTATTTCAATCACTTTCAAAACTTACACTACAGAGATGACTTCTAAACAGCTGCCCTTGTGGATCTAGCGTCACATGCATGCCCACGCCATACTCCCCATGGGCTGGCCTGAGCTAGTTATGGCTGGCCCATTCCTGCAAGACACAGGACTCCTCTGATGGGCAACGCTGATGGATGTCTCACCGATGACCCAGCTGAAACTTTCCTGGAACACCGTACTCTGACACTCCACTTACTCAACCTCCTCTTCCCCCTTCCCTCTCTCCTTCAAGGGGTGGGCACACCTACACTGTGGTCTGATGCTTCCCCCCACTTCTGTGTCCCCCCCTTCCCCTCACAGGCCTTTCTCCCGATAAATGTCTTGCACATCTAATCCCATCTTGGCTTCTGCTTCTCAGATAGGAACTGACACAAGTAGTACTGAAAATAATCCAAGAAAACAGGTGGTGTGAGACAGGGATTTGAGGCAGACTCATCACCCAGCATGAGAGGAGAAGATCATCCATCATCCTAAATGGCAGGTCACTGGTACAAACAATGTGGTTTATACTGAAAACCTGCTTTTCCTTCTGGAAATCTGGATTTGGTATGTGCCAGGAAGAGGCTGCCTACTCAACCAGCACCCAAGAAAAACTCTGGGCACTGAGTCCCTAAATGAGCCTCCGTGGTGAACATAATCTCACGTGTGCTAGAGGAATTGTGTCCTGTTGGGCCCGCACTGGGAGAAGATTCTTAGGAACCTGTGCCTGGTTTCCCTCAGAATCCACTGCATGCACTCTCTTCCCCTTGCTGGTTTTGCTTTGAATTCTCTTGTTGTAATAAATTAAGTCGTGAGTATGACTCTGTAAGTTCTCTAAGTCCTCCCAGTCAATCAGTGACCCTAAGGTGATCCTGGGGACCCCTAACACAGGATCAGATCCACACTGGGACTGCAGTCTGACAGTTGTCCCCACTTCCTCAGGCTCCTGCTCCTTTCTCCCTTACAGGTGCTTCTCCAAATAAATCTCATGCTCACCTAAATCTCATTTTGGCTTTTGCTTCTGGGATGACCTAAAACTAATGTGCCAATGAATATTACTAACGGAATATTCTCCTGGCACCTTACAACATATCTGAAACTACATCCTCTATCTTGCCAAAAAAGTCACCATCAACTTAGTCATCCAAATAGAAATCATTCTCACTTCCTCCTGACAGCCTCCATGTTTACTCATGATTACTACCCTACACTCTCCATTCTGAGCCCCTTCATCTTTAGATTACTGAAATAAGACCTCCAGTTGGCTTCCATTTCTAGTTCAAAGCCCTTTGCTGACCCCCATACTGCTTGCAGATAAGGAATGAGTGCCTTTGGTCCCCAATCTACAGCCAGCACACCCAGCCAGACCCTCTCTCTCCTTCCAAGGCATAAACTCCAGTCCTATCTAACTCCCAGCCCATATCTAATCATCACTCCTTTGCATTTTATATTCTTGCTGCCTTGAATACCCTTTGTACTATTTATAAGCAACATGACTTTCTATTGGTCCTTTGAAATACAGCTCAAACACCATTAACTAGTGAAGCTGCTGCCTTGGACTGACTCTCCCCACAAGCTCCCATAGCACCCTGATACAGTTTGGTCTTATGTCACACTCTTCCTAGAGTTCTATCTCCATTCAAGAGTACAAATCATATTTTTATTCTAAATCTTGATACTTAATACATTATTGATGAAATATTCATAACATTCATAAGACTCTTTTTTTTTTTTTTAAGATTTTATTTATTTGACACAGAGAGAGAGACAGCGAGAGAGGGAATATAAGCAGGGGGAGTGGGAGAGGGAGAGGCAGGCTCTCCGCCAAGCAGGGAGCCCGATGCGGGGCTCCATCCCAGGACCCTGAGATCATGACCGGAGCCGAAGGCAGACGCTTAAAGACTGAGCCACCCAGGCGCCCCAAGACTGACTCTTATATAAACAAGCCAATAGGTATATATATATCCCATGGAAGCATTAGTAGGAGAGCCAGACTTTATTCTATCAGGAACCGGTTCTTGGATCAGGACACGTTGCAAGGAAAACATTTTAACCTAATATTCCAGGAAAAGACTATTTAATACGTATCCTAAGGATTAGTATTTAGGGCAAAGTACTATGGATGAAGTCTTTAATTGGGGTGCCTGGGTGGCTCAGTCGGTTAAGCAGCTGACTCTTGATTCTGGCTCAGGTCATGATCTCAGGGTTGTGGGACTGAGCCCCATATCAGGCTCCACACTCAGTGCAGTCTGCTTGTCCCCCTCCCTCCTCCTTTACCCCTCCCCCCACTTGCATGCAGGTACACACACACACACTCTTTCTCTAAAAATGAATGGATAAATAAAATCTTTTTTAAAAATCTTTAATTACTTCTACAAAGAAAGGATTAAATTTATGTTGTACTTGAAGTGATGACAGCTTCCAGGGAAGACAGTAGAGTAGGAGAACCCTAAGCTCATCTCATCCCATGGATATGATTAGGTAACACTGATATCAGTGTAAATAACCCAGAAAATGATCAAAGACTGGAAGAACAAACTCTCCACAGCTAAATGTAGAAAAGATGCCATATCAAAGAGGGCAGGAAGGGTGGAGACAGAGTCAGGGGCTAAATGGAACCACAGGACTGTCCACTGGAGGGAGGGATGCTGCGGGCATGGAGAGGGGAGAGAAATAGACCCTCACACTGAGGAGCCCACACAGGAAAAATGAATCCCCATAACATTTGGCTTAGAAAACCACAGGGGTTCAATTTTGCAAATTCTTATAATCAGCAGGACTTAAAACCTGGAACTTTAAACATCAGCAGGCTCAGCTCTGGAAGAGCCTGGAGGGAGAGAGGAAACTGAGTCCCTGCCCTTAAAGGGAGAGCACAAGAGACAGCCCTGCAGGATACAGCAGAGAAGAAGCAGTTTGAAAAATGCATGGGGCATAGGGGAGGGAGGTTTGTGAAGACACCGAGGAATATGTCCCAAATGAAAGAACAGGGCAGAATCACAGGAAGAAACCCATGTGAAATGGACATAGTAATATAACTGAGAGAGAACTTTAAATAATGGTTATAACGCTGCTCACTGAAAAAAGAGTAAAGGACATCAGTGAGACCCTGAACAAAGAGATGGAAAACATAAAAAAGAACCAATCAGAGATGAATAACACAATAAATTAAATTAAAAGTACACTAGATGGAATGAAAAGTAGACTAGAGGAAATAGAAAAATGGATCAACAACCTGGAGGACAGAGTAATGGAAAGCAATCAAGCTGAACAGGTGAGAGAAAATAATAATACAAAATAAAAATAGTCTTAGGGCCTCAGCAACACCATCAAGTGTAATAACATTTGCATTATAGGGATCTCAGGAGAAGAGAGAGAAAAGGGAGCAGAAAATTTACTTCAAGAAAATAATATCTGAAAATTTCCCAAATCTGGAGAGGGAAACAGAAATTCAGATCCAGTAGGCACAGAAATCCCCCAATAAAATCAACCCAAGGAGGTCCACACCAAGACACATAGTAATTAAAATGGCAAAAAGTAGTGATAAAGAGAGAATTTTAAAAAGCAGCAAGAGAAAAGAAAACAGTTACATACAAGGGAAACCTCATAAGGCAATCAGCTGATTTTTCAGCAGAAACTGGGTAGGTCAGAAGGGAGTGGAATGATATATTCAAAGTGCTGAAAGGAAAAAACCTGCAGCCAAGAATACTCTATCCAGCAAGGCTATCATTCAGAATAGGAGATAAAGGAGTATCCCAGACAAACAAAAGTTAAAAGAATTCATGACCACTAAACCAGCCCTATAAGAAATGTCAAAGGGGACTCTTCAAGGTGTAAAGGAAAAATCGTAACTAGGAGTAAGAAAAGTAGGAAGTGCAAAAATAAGTATATGTATAAAAATCAGTCAAGGAACTCACAAAATAAAAGGATGTAAACTAGGACACCATACACCTAAAACACAGGAGGTGGGGAGAAGAGTAAAGAATGGGTTCAAACTTAAGCACACGTCAACTTAATATAGACTGCTATATGCATAAGATGTTATATACAAACCAAATAGTAACTACAAATCAAAACCGATAATAGATACGCAAAAAATAGAGAAAGGAATCCAAGTATATCACTAAAGAAAGCCAGCAAACCATGAGAGAACAGAGCAAGAGTAGAAAGGAACAGAGAAGCAGCACAAAGACAACCATAAAACAAGTAACAAAATGGCAATAAGTACATACCTATCAATAATTCCTTTGAATATAATTGGACAAGCTACAAGAATTCTTCCTAGAAACATATAACCTCCCAAAACTGAAGCAGGAAGAAATAGAATATTTGAACAGACTGATTACCAGCAATAAAACTGAATCCATAATCAAAAAACTTCCAACAAACAAATCCAGGACCAGACAGCTTCACAGACAAATTCTACCAAACATGTACAGAAGAGTTAATATCTTTCCTTCCCAAACTATTCCAAAAAACGGAAAAGGAAGGAAAGCTTCCAAATTAATTCTATGAGGCCAGCATTACCTCAATACCAAAACCAGATAAAGACACTACAAAAAAAGAGAGAGAGAGAGAACTACTGTGGCACCTGGGTGGCTCAGTTGGTTAAGCATCCAACTCTTGATTTCGGCTCAGGTCATGATCTCGGGGGTTGTGAGAATGAGACCTGCACTGGGCTCCATGCTCAGCAGGGAGTCTGCTTGAGATTCTCTCTCCCTCTCCCTCTGCCCCTCCCCCCCCACTCTCTAAAATAATAAATAAATCCTTAAAAAAGAGAGAGAACTATAGGCCAATATCTCTGATGAACACAGATGTAAAAATCCTCAACAAAATATTAGCAAACCAAATTAACAATACATTAAAAAAAATCATTCACTACAATTAAGTGGGATTTATTCCAAGGACTCAAGGGTGGTTCAATATTTGCAAATCAAGGGGTGCCTGGGTGGCTCAGTCATTAAGCGTCTGCCTTCGGCTCAGGTCATGATCCTGGGGTCTTGGGATTGAGCCCCGCATTGGGCTCCCTGCTCAGCAGGAAGCCTGTTTCTCCCTCTCCCACTCCCCCTGCATGTGTTCCCTCTCTCACTGTCTCTCTCTCTGTCAAATAAAATATTTTTAAAAAAATCTCCAAATCAATGTGATACATCACATCAAAAGAAAAAGGATAAAAAATATATAATCATTTCAATGGATGCAGAAAAAGCATTTGACAAAGTACAACATCCATACATGACAAAAACCTTCAATGAAGTAGGTTTAGAGGGAACATACCTCAACATAATAAAGGCCATGTATGAAAAACCCACAGCTAATGTCATACTCAATGATAAAAAACTTGAGAGCTTTTCCCCTAATATCAGAAAAAGACAAGGATGTCCACTCTCACCACTTGCATTCAACATAGTTCTGGAAGTCCTACCTACACAATCAGACAAGAAAAAGGGGAAAAAAGGCATCCAAATTGGTAAGAAAGAAAGAAAACTTTCATTATTTGCAGATGACAAGATACTATATAGAGGAAACCCTAAAGACTCCACCAAAAAACTAGAACTGATAACTGAATTCAGTAAGGTGCAGAACACAAAATTAATATGCAGAAATTCATTACATTTCTATACACTAATAATGAAGTAGCAGAAAAAGAAATTAAGAAAACAATCCCATTTACAATTACATCAAAAATAATAAAATACCTAGGGAAAAACCTCACCAAGGAAGTGAAAGACCTGTATTCTGAAAATATAAAACAATGATGAAAGAAATTGAAAATGACACAAACAAATGGAAAGATATTCCATGTTCATGGACTGGGAGAACAAATATTGTTAAAATGTCAATACTGGGGCGCCTGGGTGGCTCAGTCATTAAGCGTCTGCCTTCGGCTCAGGTCATGATCCCAGGGTCCTGGGATCAAGCCCCGCATCAGGCTCCCTGCTCCACGGGAAGCCTGCTTCTCCCTCTCCCATTCCCCCTGCTTGTATTCCCTCTCTTGCTATGTCTCTCTCTGTCAAATAAATAAATAAAATCTTTAAAAAAAAAATAAAAGGGGTGCCTGGGTGGCTCAGTTGGTTAAGCGACTGCCTTCGGCTCAGGTCATGATCCTGGAGTCCCTGGATCGAGTCCCGCATCGGGCTCCCTGCTCGGCAGGGAGTCTGCTTTGCCCTCTGACCCTATCCCCTCTCATGTGTTCTCTCTCATTCTCTCTCTATCAAATAAATAAATAAAATCTTTAAAAAAAATTTTAAAAATTAAAAAAGAAAAAGAAAAAAAATGTCAATACTACCCAAAGCAATCTTTTTTTTTTTAGGATTCAATGCATCCTTATCAAAATACCAACAGTATTTTCCACAAATAACCCCACCATGTGTATGGAACCACAAAAGACTCCATGTAGCCAAAGCAATCTTGAAAAAGTACAAAGGTGGAGGTATCACAATACCAGATTTCAAGATATACCACAATGCTGTAGTAATCAAAACAGTATAGTCCTGGCACAAAAACAGCCACGTAGCTCAATGGGACAGAACAGAGAGCCTAGAAATAAACACACTATTATGTGGTCAATTAATCACTGGCAAATCAGGAAAGAATATGCAATGGGAAAAGATCGTTGTTTCCAACAAATGGTGTTGGGAAAACTGGACAGCAACATGCAAAACAATGAAACTGGACCACTTACACCAAACAGAAAAATAAATTAAAAATGGATTAAGGACCCAAATACGAGACCTGAAACCATAAAAATTCTAGAAGAGAGCACAGGCAGTACTATCTCTGACATTGGTTGTGCAACATTTTTCTACATGTCTTCTGAGGCAAGGCTTATAAAAGCAAAAATAAACTATTGGGACTACATCAAAATACAAAGCTTCTGCACAGCAAAGCAAACAATCAACAAAACTAAAAGACAACCTACTGAATGGGAGAACTATTTGCAAATGGCATATCCAATAAAGGGTTAGTATCCAAAATAGATAAAGAACTTACACAACCCCACACCAAATAATCCAATTAAAAAAATGGGCAGAAGACATGAACACACATTTCTCCAAAGAAGACATCTAAATGGCCAACAGACACATGAAAAGATGCTCAACATAACTCATCATCAGAGAACTGCAAATCAAAATCACAATGAGATATCATCTCACACCTGTCAGAATGGCTAAAATAAAAAACACAAGAATCAACAAGTGTTGGTGAGGATGTGGAGAAGAAGGAATCCTTGTGCATTCTTGGTGGGAATGCAGACTGGTGCAGCCACTCTGGAAAACAGTATGGACGTTCCTCAAAAAGTTAAAAATAAAACTACCTTATGATCCAGTAATTCCACTACTAAGTATTTTCCCAAAGAATACAAAAATACTAATTCCAAGGGAAATATGCAACCCCAATGTATATTGCAGTATTATTTACAATAGCCAAATTATGGAAGCAGCCCAGGTGTTCATTGATAGATGAATGGATAAAGAAGTGGTATGTATACACCATGGAATATTACTCAGTCATAAAAATGAATGAAATCTTGCCATTTGCAACAACATGGATGGAGCCAGGGAGCAGAGTATAATGCTAAGTGAAATAAGTCAGAGAAAGATAAATAAATACCGTATGATTTCACTCATATGTGGAATTTAAGAAACAAAACAAATGAACAACGAAAAAGAAAAGAGAAAAACCAAAAAACAGACTCTTAACTATAGAGAACAAACAGATGGTTACCAGAGGGGAGGTGGGTAGGGGATGGGTAAAATAGGTAAAGAGGATTAGGAGTGCACTTGTCTTGATGAGCACTGAGTAAAGTATGGAACTGCTGGATCACTATATTGTACTTCTGAAACTAATATAACACTGTATGTTGGGCGCCTGGGTGGCTCAGATGTTTGAGCATCTGCCTTCAGCTTGGGTCATGATCCCAGGGTCCTGGGATCGAGTTCCACATCAGGCTCCCTGCTCAGCGGGGAACCTGCTTCTCCCTCTCCCTCTGCCTGGCACTCCTCCCCCCCGCCCCCCGCTTGTGCTCTCTCTCTCTGTGTCAAATAAATAAAATCTTAAAAAAAAAAAAAATATATATATATATATATATATATAACACTGTATGTTAACTATACTGAAATTTAAAAAAAAATCTCAAAATAAATAAATAAAGATATAATAATGACAACAAAAATAAAATAAAGTAATGAGACCTTGGGAAAACTCCCCAGATAGAAAAAAACCTAAGTTTTGTGTTTGTTTCATAAAAATCACATTAAAATATGGCCAATTTTGAATATTCTTGAACCATAAACATTTTAAATGGGTTAAAAATGAATTATTCAAAGATTACCTGGAGATATTCTTAGCTTGTTGTTCTGTTAAACCGAGCTCCTCACTGGAGACACCATCTTTTGTTATAAGGTCCTCAATAATGTCTGCAATATCAGTTAATCCAGTCATCTGGAGTGGATCTACTGAAACGCTTCATTTTCAAATGCAATTTGAGAAATATAAGTCAGTATCTACAATTTAATTACATTAAGCAAAAATTAACATGTAAAGTTTAAAAGTTATGTCCTCTAAGAGCATAAATGAACACAAAAATAATAAACACAGATCTAATGTTCCTTCTACTTTCCAGTAATCCTCAGCTCAAGTCTAATCATCAGTAATTGATGACTTCTTATGTGCTCTTAAAAAAGCGAACATAAGGGGCGCCTGGGTGGCTCAGTCATTAAGCGTCTGCCTTCGGCTCAGGTCATGATCCCAGGGTCCTGGGATCGAGTCCCGCATCAGGCTCCCTGCTCCACGAGAAGCCTGCTTCTCCCTCTCCCACTCCCCCTGCTTGTGTTCCCTCTCTCGCTGTCTTCTGTGTCAAAAAAAAAAAAAAAAAAAAAAAAAAAAAGCAAACATAAGGCTCAGGAGATAACCTCTACCTGTCCTGCCTGCTGAATACACATGCAGTGAAAGGTATAGCAAACACAGTCTACTGCATTCTAATTACCTATGCTAAAACATAGGTATATAAAGGATATAATAAAGCAATCCTCAGCTTCTTAAAATACTCCATTCCCGATGAGAATTATATTCTTTTAGTCCATGAAAAAATATGTAGTATAGAAGCTCACATGCACATGAACAACAAAATCTCCAAAGCACACAGTTTATACCCAACCTTAAGTAAACCTGTGAATTAATTCTTAAAAGATATTTACCTCTCAAATAACTCATCACTGTTATTCTCACCTTAAAAGAAGAGAAACATTATTACTAAAAATTGGGGGTCAATAATTTTTTCTACTTCCATCTATTAACCTGATTTGGAAATTATATAACCAGAAATTAAAATATTTTTAGGGATGCCTGGGTGGCTCAGTCGTTAAGCGTCTGCCTTTGGCTCAGGTCATGATCCTGGGGTCCTGGGATCAAGCCCTGCATCGGGCTCCCTGCTCGCGGGGAACCTGCTTCTCCCTCTCCTCCCTGCTTGTGCTATCTCTCTCTGATAAATAAATAAATAAAATCTTTAAAAAATAGATAAATAAAAGTAAAATTAAAATATTTTTAAACCTCCAAATAGGTTTAAAGATATATATGTGTAACCTATTTATCCTCCTCTTAAATATGCTATTTGGTAGTGAATACTCCGCATTTTCAGATTATTACTCTTCATTCAGAGTACTCTGAATACTTTAGGAAGTACAATCCTTCTTTGCTTAGTACACAGTTTAAAATACAGAAGTGTGATTTACTAAAACAACAACAACAACAAAACAAAAATGCTCTGATGGTCTAAAAGTAATACATTTGGGAAAATATCTAATGTAATTCCAAGAAGCCATTACTTGGAAGAACAGCACCCAAAGAATAATTTTTAAACCTTGTCCAATATTAACTACATGTCTTTAAAGTGAAATACCTAATCTACTCAATTTTTGATATGTTTAATCCTCAAAGAGAATTGAGTTACTACAGGGGAAACTGATCTCAAAAACATCTCCTTGTTAAGACTTTCTTAGACAAATCTACCTTGCCCCAAGACTTATACATCCACGTGTTTTTACTATTAATTTTGCTTTCCTAAGCACATTGTTTTAATTTATTAATCTTCAAATCAAGGATTTTACATTATCTTTGTTCTCAGAGTTGGGGCATTTGTGAGGTTTTAATAGCAATTAATTAAATTTAACTATTTTTTTAAAGATTTTTTTTTATTTTTAAGTAATCTCCACACCCAACATGGAGCTCGAACCCACAACCATGAGATCAAGAGTCGCATGCTCTACCAATTGAGCCAGCCAGGCACGCCTTAGATTTAACTATTAAGAAAATCCTCAATTACTAAAAGAAAAAAAAATGGTAATGATGTAGGTTATAGAGTAATCAGATATAAAAGGTCTGCCTGCTGTGAAATAAAATTTCTTTCTGATTCCTTTTATCAAAGGGCAGAAAAGTATTATATCCAAATAAATACCTTTAACAGTAGTTACACAGGAAGATTTGATCCTTACTTCATTTTCAAACCATTTTTGGAACTCTTCTTTTGGGGACTGCCTTCACAATTTACTGAACACAATAGATCAACTTTATTCCTTGAAAATCACAATTCCTTTTTTTTTTTTTTTTTTTTTTAAATTCCAAACAGTGACACTCAGCCTTATTATCTACTCCACTTATCAGAAATGCCTCTGGAAATCTTGTGGCTGTTACCCAAAATTAAATCCATCCTCAGTGAATAAATTATTTGCCACTGTTAAGAACATTCACAAGAATGTGCTAAGAAATGGAAGTCAATTTCAAAAGAGGAAATCTGAGCTTTTTTTGAGCACTAGAAGTAAGGGAATGACTATCCACCTTTCTAAGATGCCAACTTTGGAAAAGGAAACACCCATTACATTAGGCATCTAAATCCTGCACTCTAAAAAATAGTAATTTGGTTTCCTTTTTAATTTACATTAGACATTGAATGCTAGAGAAAAACATTTTAATTATCCATCTTTATATGTGTTACGACATTTATTCACATTTTTCTTTTCTTCTCTTGCATCCTAATTTAAGAAGCTATTACAATTTTGAATGTATACTTTCAATCTCACTTTTCCTACTCCTTTGTTTTCTTCTTCCTTTAAACATTAAAGAGTTCGTCTCTATCTCCATCCTGAAATGATCTTTGACTTCATTTCTCTTATTTTTCTACTTCCTTTTACCATCAGAACTGTTAAGTAGTCTATACGTACAGATTCTTGAGTCTGTCTTTGTCCCCAAACAGCCTTCTACTCTGGATATTACCTGAAAGTCCCTGAGGTCCTTAACAAATTCAGTCTTTATTCTTGACCTTCTGGTAGCTTGTGCAACTGTGAGCCACTCACTTTACCCTCAAGCCCCTTTACCGGAGTCTGCTTGTCCATCTCCCTCCTGGGGAGGCCTCCCGTGCTCTCTCAACGGTATCGTTTCACAAGCTGCTCTTTGTTTTTTTCCCTTTTTCCATATTTCTTGCTGAGAACAGATGCACCAAGTCTTGACTATATAATTAGGTAAAAGGCTCTTACATCTGTTTTTCAAGCATAAACCTCTCATCAAGTTCCACTTGCTGTCAAAAACTGGGTCCTAAATATGGCCATTTATATACCCAACATCACCTTATGTTACATTTGGTCTTAGGGTACTCTAGAGTCTGACATCAGAGCTAGGATATCCTCGCTCCTACAGTCTGACAACACAAAATCGCTATTCAGTTTCTCCTTCTCCTCCTCTTTTATCCGCTTAGTCAGTGGGTAACATGAGCTGCCTTCAGAATGTCTCCTGCTTTCCCACAACACTGTCCAGGCCCTTATTATTCCAAAGTCAGATGAAGGTAACAGCTCACTAAACGATCTATGCCTCCATTCTAGTCTTCAAAACCCCCTCATTCCACTTCTCTGCTCAGAATTCTCCAATGATGCCCTGATATAAAATGGGAGTGTACACTTCTCAGATACCCTCTACCACCACCTCTTTAACCTCGTCTGTCAACTCTCCCCCGTAAGAGTCAAGACGAAAGCTACAAATGACTGAGGACCTACAGGAATCAAAGAGGTCTCAGCTAGGTGCTTTACATACAACATTCAATCTTCATAACTCTGTAAAGGGGAAATGATCAACCCCATAGGATGATGACCAAAATACAAATGGAATCTAGGAAGAACTTAGAGAAAAAAATTATAAGACTTAAAGGCAGCTTCTTAATAGCTTTTCTTTTAATAACCACTATGCCATTTAAAAATAGCATTTTTTACTGCTTATGCTACTTTAATAATAATAAAACTTACTATAAACACTTAGTAAATTCATCATTTTTGACCATCAATAGCTGAGAGAAAAAAAATATTTCAAAGCCACTGTCAGTAGTCCAAGTGTTGTATTTAGTATGACCTATTATTCATATGATAAAATGTGTTCGTTAGGACTAGAGAAGAGCATTTTTAATTGCCAACTCCAAATGAAACAGAATGAAAAGTGGCACTAAACTTGTCTAAGTCTCAATATTCTCAACTGTACAATGGGGCTAATAATGGCATCCACTTCGCAGGTTAGGCTCACACCAGGTTCAGTGCACATAGAGCAGCCTTATCTGGGACGCGGCAGTCTCCAGAAACTACAGCTGTTGTTTTGTTTTCATAATTAAAACTCCAGGTTCTCAATATTGGCTGAGTCTGAATTTCTCAAGTTTTATAAAAATCAGATAGTATAGTAAGTCCAGTTGCTATATATCTAACATTAATAAGTTAGCAAAATAACTTGGGAGATATCTAATCGTATATCTTATTGGAGATAATGATACATGCTTGCAATAGATCTTAGGAAGATGACAATCAAGTTCAAGTAAATGGCACAATCTTTAACTTCCCTCCCCTGAAATGTATAAATATTGCAAAATGGCTTCACAAATCCTTCACAACTGTGTTCCCAATAAAATACTCTTCAGTAACAGTATACTGGAAAACAAGAGTATAAATGAAAAAAGTGAAGAACAATACCAGGAGAAGTTGTATTCTGGTCACTGAAGAGGCTGAGAGCCGAATCAGCAGAAGGAAACACACAGGTTTTTTGACTAGAATGAGTTTCTGTTACTGAAAATTCAGCTTCTGAAGTCTCCTCTTTGTCACTTTGAGCCTCCTTATTCATATGAGTCAGGAAACATACTAATCCAAAGTAAAATAGTAGAGGAAAAAAACACATGGGGAAAAAAGATATTAACACTTAGTTAACACTTTCACATGGCAACAGATATATCAGAAGTTTACACATATTATTTTGATAACTTTCTACTGTATAATGAAATGATTTAATATGATATTTAAAATTTAATCTCCCTCATAGTAAAAAAACTATTAAATTTATTATCAGTTTCAGAAAACATGGCAGACTGAACTAAAGTAGACAGGTTCATACCCTGTTATAGAAACACAGAAGAAATGCTAAATTTAAAAAATAGATTAATATGCAACCAAGCCCTATAAATAAAGAAATCCCCCAGTGCCAGAAAGAAAAAGGAATCAAAGCTGGGCAATATATGGGCAATGATGCTGGGAGAGTCCATACAGAAAGGAGATGTGGTTTCTGCCATCTGCAGTAGAGAGAACTAAGCTACCTTCATATGACCCAGAGCACTGAAGGATAGCTTTGTCCATAAAATAAGGATAAAAACCCTGGAGAAGCAGCAAAGAAGTTTTCTATCTGCCTGAATAGCAGATGGGAGAAAAACGAGTCAACTCTGAGAAATCAAAACCTCTGTCACGAACCATGAGAGACTATGGACTCTGAGAAACAAACTGAGGGTTCTGGGTGGGGGTGGGGGGTGGGTTAGCCCAGTGGTGGGTATTAAAGAGGGCATGTACTGCATGGAGCACTGGGTGTTATACACAAACAATGAATCATGGAACACTACATCAAAAACTAATGATGTAATGTATGGTGATTAACATAATTAAAAAAACAAAACAAAACCTCTGTCATGCCACAAACAGGTATGGGATCTGAATTTATACTATCTATGTACTACAGCAACTACAAGCCAAGAAATGTATATAAAAACTTGTCCCCCAAATTTTCTACTTCAGTAGATCCCAAGAAGCAAATACAAAACCACATCAAAGGCAAACATATACAACCCAGCAGAACTCCCCTAAAGATTAGGGGAATTACAAATGAAAAATTACAAAATTACAAATTGCACAAAGAAACCACCATAAAAGAGAGCATGCAGATCTGACAATTGAAAATATATACACATGAAGTAAAACAATCTGAAAGGGCGTAAAATATTACTAAAATCATTAAATAGATAAAAGAAGACATAGAAACCATAAAAAAAGAACAGGACAGTACATCCAGCAAATAGATTTGAAAAAGAAATAAAACTTAGACATTAAGAATATAGGAAAAAAATTAAATCCTATAACAAAGATATAGCAGAAGAGAAAATTAGTAAACTAAAAGGCAGATCTGAGGACATCACCCTAAGTACATCATTGAGAGATAAAAAGGTGGCAATTAACAGTTAAGAGACAGGGAATAAAGTGAGAAGGTCCAACATAGCTCTTTTTTTTTTAAAGATTTTATTTATTTATTTGAGAGAGAGAGAATGAGAGACAGAGAGCATGAGAGGAAGGAGGGTCAGAGGGAGAAGCAGACTCCCTGCCGAGCAGGGAGCCTGATGTGGGACTCAATCCCGGGACTCCAGGATCATGACCTGAGCCGAAGGCAGTTGCTTAACCAACTGAGCCACCCAGGCGCCCCTCTTTTTTTTTTTTTTAAGATTTTATTTATTTATTTGACAGAGAGAGACACAGTAAGAGAGGGAACACAAGCAGGGGGAATGGGAGAGGGAGAAGCAGGCTCCCTGCTGAGCAAGGAGCCTGATGTGGGACTCGATCCCAGGACCCTGGAATCATGACCTAAGCTGAAGGCAGGCGCTTAACGAATGAGCCACCCAGGCACCCCCAACATAGCTCTAATAGGTGTTTTAGAAAACAGAACAGAAAGAATGGGGAGGAAGCAATATTCTAAAAGAAAATGGATGAAAAATAACCAACATTAAAACTGAAAATTAAATAATCATTCCAACTCTCATTTAGAATAACTTTTAAAAATATACACACTGAGGACACCTGCGTGGCTCAGTCACTTGAGTGTCCGACTCTTGATTTCGGCTCAGGCTGTGATCTCAGGGGTGTGAGATCTGTGCATCTGGATTCTCTGTCTCCCTTTCCTGTGCCCCCCCCGCAAGTGAAAAAAAAAAAGCTCTTAAAAAATAAATACATAAAAATAAAAGTATATACACCGAGACACACTTGTATCAAAAATTTAAAATAAACTAAAAATAAAGAGAAAATGTTAAAAGAATTCAGAGATAAAAGAACAGTAACTGGACAGACAGCACATAGGCAGTATAAACTCAGCAATTAGAGAGGTCAGTAAATAATGGAATATTATCCTTAAAATGTTGAGGGAAAATGAGGATCAACTTAGAATTCTGTCCCCATCTGTAAGCTATCACTCATAAATTGTAATAAAATTAAAGATGTTTTCAAAGACTAGGAGAATTTACCACTCACATGCTCTAGATGGAAGAACTAATAAAGGAAGGAAAAAGGAAGCAATCCTCAAGAAAGCAGATGCAAAAAGAAATTGTGAGCAACAATAGCAGAGAATAGAAAGTTTTGCCAGAGTGCATCTCAGGCAATAAAGGTAAGTATTATTTCCTGAAACTTGTGTTTTGGTTTTTACATTCATGGTTTACGTATTTACATTATTTGAGTTACAAATTTTTTCAAAAGAAGCAACTGAAGGCAAAGAAACTGGAAAACATGCTGATAAGTTCAAGTAAGTGTTGAATGAAAAGACATGGGAGACTAAATTAAAAACAAAGCAGATCTAAAATACTAGAGAACAGTATCAGGGAAGATAGGAGGGAGGGAGGGAGGGAGCAGATCAATGTTAAAAGTGCTAAAGTCTTTATATTGTTTAGGAGGTAAATATATTTGCCTTAAATTTTAATTCAACTATGAATATTGAACATTCAAGAATAATCACTAAGAGATTAAAAAGAGAATGTGTAATTTCTGTACTCTCCACATCCAAGGTGGGGCTCGATCTCAGGACGTTGAGATGAAGAGTCACACACTCCACCAACTGAGCCAGCCAGGTGCCCCAGAATGTGTAATTTCTGAACCAACAGAGAGGAAAAGAGAGAATACAGAAAACCCAATCCAACAGAAGGAAAGAAAGCAGCTCAAAAAGAAAAAAATACATAGTAAATAGGAAGCACAAAATAAGATTATAGAAATAAGCACAAATATATCAGTAATCACAATATACATAATATAATTATATTTGATGATTAAGACACATAAATTAACTACTTTTAAAAATGAAATCTAGGGTGCCTGGGTGGCTCAGATGGTTGAGCGTCTGCCTTCGGCTCAGGTCATGATCCCAGAGTCCTGGGATCGAGTCCCGCATCGGGCTCTCTGTTCCTTGGGAGCCTGCTTCTCCCTCTGCCTCTCTCTCTCTCTGTCTCTCATGAATAAATAAATAAAAATCTTTAAAAAAAAAAAAATGAAATCTAGTTATATGCTGGACACAACTACAACATAATCACTCAACTTGAAAATAAAGGAATATCTAACTTACGGAAAATACAAGAGAAACATGTTAAATGACCCCATAGAGAATCAATTAGCAAAATCCAGACTCTGAAAAACACTTCAGGACAAACATCTGTTTCTTCAACAAATCAATTGCAAGGGGGAAAAGAGAGAGAAGGCACCAAGAAGTTAAAAGAGACTTATAAGCCATCAAACGACTGCCATGTATGGACTTCACTTGGATTCCAACTAGAATAAAAAAATAAGCTATTTTTATAAAATGAGATAGTTGACAACACTGAAACACTGATTAGATATATGACAATATTAATTTTTTAAAAGGAGCAATAATATTATTATGCCTGTGTTTAAAAAAAAGAAACCTTATCTTTTAGACATATTTACAAAATATTTACAGGTAGATAATATGCTATCTGGGATTTGCTTTAAAATCATCCAGGAAAAGGTGGGAGGAGTAAGTGGGTGTATACATAAAAGAGGATTGACCATGAGTTGATAACTGTTAAAGTTGGATATAGGGTACATGAAGGTTAATTATACTATTCTGTCTTCTACTGAAATTGTCCATGATAAATTTTTTAAAAATTAAATGTATCAAAAAAGATATAGCAGGGAAATATTAATAGTAGATAAAGTTGAGTCTGAAAACATTACTGGGGATAAAGAGGGTCATTAATGAGAAAAGGGGCAAAATTCAACCAAAAATATAACAATAATGAACATAATCATTTTATAACATAGCTTCAACTATATAATGCAACATTTAACAGAATCACAAGGAGAAATTCCACTATCACTGTGGGCAATTTTTAATGCACGCTTCTGAGCAAGCAAACTAAAAAATCAGAAAGCATACAGAAAATCTGGACAATTTGATTAAACACATATATATGTATAAATATACAATTTAAAAGCCTGACTAAACATACACACACACACCTTATGTACGTATACACACACACGCGTGCGCACACACACACATCCTACATAAACCAACAGTAAACGCATATTCTTTTCAAGTAAACATTTACCAAAACTGACTATACATCCCAGGCCACAAAGGAAATTTTAACAAATATCTAAGAATTGCCATTATCATACACTTATCTAATCATAATGCAATGAATAGATGAATAAAAATATAGCCCAAACCCCATAATACTGGGAAGCTAAATATCCCTTTTATGAGCTAAAAGACATCTTAATACAAATTACAAACTATCTAGATCAAAACAACACCAAAACATGATGCATATCAGCGCTCTTGTCTGGGTCCTTACAGGGACATATTCAGCTTCAAATACATATATTAGAAAAAAAGAAAGAATGAAGTTAGGAAAAAGCCAACAGGTTAAGCCCTCAAAAACCAAAGAAATAGTAAAGCTAAGGGGTAGAAATTTATGAAAAAGAAAATTAAACAACAGAATCAAACGAAAGCCTGTTTAAAAAAGAAAAAGAAAAGAAAACCACATTAAATTGCTGACAAGACTGAATGAAAGAGAATGTAGGGATAAACAACTATGGATACAGTAGAAATTTTAAGTAACTACCCTAATTTCATTCTTTCAGTAAGAAATTCAAACATATACTATTTCACCACTGCCTGGCCATATAACCAGAACCTCAAATCCCAATTCTGCAGTTGACCAGGGACAAACAGCAACCTCAGCACCCAGCTTTGTGCAACCCTCAGCAAGTGTGTGGCTGAACGCTCCCCATTCTAGGAGGCTATGGCATTGGCTTCTCAGGAAAACAATGGCCTGGGTGGGAGCCAATCACATTATCACAAGAATAATCCTAATCTAAATTAGGGGACTGCGGGCTTGGGCTCACAAATGAAAACTATTCCTAGTTCTCTAGCTCCCAAAGGGCAATGCTTATTCTTTCAAAGCAAGGCTTCAGCCCCCCCACCAACTCCCCACTACACACACACCTTCGGAAATGCCAATGGCTTTTGAAGCCAATGGTTTTTCAGATTCAGGACCAGAAGACAATTCAATGTGATCTTCAGGTTCAACCTGTAGAAAAATACACACAACAAAATAACTTAAGAATTTTATAGTTTGAGGGGTGCCTGGGTGGCTCAGTCGTTAAGCGTCTGCCTTCAGCTCAGGTCATGATCGCAGGGTCCTGGGATCGAGCCCCGCATCGGGCTCCCTGCTAGCTGGGATGCCTGCTTCTCCCTCTCCTCCTCCCCCTGCTTGTGTTCCTGCTCTCGCTGTCTCTCTGTCAAACAAAATCTCAAAAAAAAAAAAAAAAAAAAAAAGAATTTTATAGCTTGAGATTTTCACAATATTGTTAAATAATCTGATGTACCTTTTAAATATTAGGGTAACAAGTGAAAGAAATGGGATTAAATCTAATAAGAGCTAAATGTGGGGATGGGTGAAGAGAAGGAAATTTTTACTTATTTGTAGTCTAAATGATTTAACCTTTTTAGACATCATAAGGAAAACAACATCAGATAATTTTAGACTGGGGAGGAACATTAGCTACCATTTAGACAAAACCTCTCATTTTAAAAATGTGAGAACAGGGCCCAGAGAAATTCAGTGACTTTCTTAGTGGCAAGACATGGATTTGAACCGAGTTCTTCAAAGCCTGTAGTCAGTGCTTGTCCACAAGTATCCCTCTGTCTCTTCCAGGCTTGAAGTCTGTTCTCTTAATTAAAATAAACAAGTCACAATCTGTGTATCTATGTGTGCATTATAATAGGATGAGAACATTTTAAAACAATATCCCAAAATCTCTCATTTAAATTAGTGTTAGTTCCTTCGAAGTAGTCACCTTAGCAAACTAAATACTTATGGAGTTTGATCCACCTTCCTTTGGGAAACTTCCTTTGAAATTGTCTCCCAGGCTTGCACTACCATTATTAACAACTGTTCTGGTGATAAGTCTTTATTATAAAGATGTGATTTTATTACTGTCAGAATCCAAAACTGAGAGAGCAAAGACAACCATTAAATAAACATGTATTGAATGCCTGCCATGTTACCAAGCAAAAGACACAGTCCCTGTCCTCCAGCATTTAAAGACTGGGGCTGAGAGGGGCGCCATAACAGAATTTTTAGGAACTTTTTCAAAATACATGTGTGTGATCTACACCCTCCCCCCTGCCAAGCCACTGTCCCCCCCTCTGTCCCCAGCCTACCACCCCAGATTCAGTAGGGCTGGCATGTATATTTTTGAAAAAGATCATGACATGCACAGCTGTCCTTTTATCTGATAGATCCAGATCTGTGGAAATTCCTTCTTGAGACTCTTCCTTTGGTTTGCTTTCTCCTGAATCTCTTAACTACCTTAGAATGCTCCTTCTCATGCTTTGTTGTTGAATCATCTTTAAAAGTTCATGCACCCGCAGAATTCTGTCCTTTACCCTCTTTTTCTCCTCATTCAGTGTATTCTCTCTGGGTGAGTGCCCTGTTATGATTTTAACTTCCTCTTAAGGACTCTAAAATCTGTACCATCAACCCAAATCTAGCTCCTAAGCCCCAGAAGCATATATCCAACTGCCTACTAATCTCACAACACTTCAAATTTACGATGTTCCTGACTGAAATCACTGTGCCTCTCTTCCCCCAAAACACACAGACTTCTTCCCTACTGTGGAAAATGACTGCCCCATTCACCCAGGCTCGAAATCTGGATATTACTGTGAATCTATTCTTCTTCACCTTCCCATAGCCCAATACCCTCTGAGTCCTGCTACATCCTTCTCCATCCCCAATGCTTAAGTTCAGGTTATCATTACTTCTTGGCTTGGTACTCAATGGGTCCCAAACATCAATCAGTAAGCCCAGTATAGAGCTAGCTGCATAAGAATCATTCATGAAGCTTATTAATTACACAAATTCCTGGGTTCCACCCCAGAATTACTTAAAATCAGAATCTCAGGGGTATGAGCCCACAAGTCTGCATTTCTAACAAGTTCCCAAGATGACTCCAATGAGCAGCAAGTTTCGAACCACTGTGACCCACCTGATCTCCCTGTTCTCAGCCTATTCTCTCCAATCTGCCCTCCACACTGCTGCCAGAGTGTCTGATCACATCATTTCACTGCTTAAAATTCTTCAGTGGTTCCCTCCTGCCTATTTATAGTATAGGACAAAATCCTAACCACTTGACATGGCAAACAATACTTCCCATCATTCCTTATCCACACACCTGCCTTCCTCTCCTGCCAGATGTCTTAAAGCCCAGTACCATCAACCTCCACCTCACGGTGTTTCATCAGCCCTTCCTTATCTAACTCGTGAATATCGATTCATTACCAACTCCAGAGTTACCTCTACAAAGCCATCTCTGATGCCACAGCTTCACTTACTTACCTGTCCAGCCACAACAGGTCATGTGTACCTGTGGTGTTCTCACCAACCCTGTTCATATGTACTTACTGGTGTATACATCTATCTTCTTTTGTTAGATTCTAAGCTGCTTGAGAGTAGTGACTATGTATGCCTTATTTATCTTTCTATTCCCAGAACTTAGCAAAGGGCCCAGCAGGTAGAAGAAGATTGATAAATGTTTATTGATGAAGAAACAATTCTTGGACTCTGGAGCACGCCAGGATCAAGACTAGATTCAAGTGTACATAACATATTTGGCTGTAGATATGCTTAATATACTAAAACATAAGGCCATTTTGGAAAGTGATTCCTTAGAATAAGGAGTTCCAAAGATGACTCTAACACTTAACACTCATTGTGAAGTGCTAGATCTAAGTGTGGGTTAAAAAAACAAAAAGGAAAACAACCAAATAAACATCATAATATTATTACTTAACAGTAGTCCTACCTCATGTTTTTTCTGTGTAGTTTCACATAAATTTAATCTTAACTTTTTAATATGTGCTAAATGTTTGAATTAAAGAAATACTATAAACCTAATAAACACATCTTTTAAAATGTCAACCTGCTAGCAACCTAGAGTATTTGTTAGGTAAGTCAATGATGAACTTTTTATCCTGCAGACCAATTTGCATTTCCCAATACAAGGCTTTAACACATTCAAAATATTTTTACTATTTTGTTCCTTAATCTTTATTTTATGTAAATTTTACTTCCCAAAAAAAACAGGTTTGTGCAAAATAATTAATTCATGTTTGAGACTTCCTATTTGTCTAACTACCATGATATGCCAATACACATAAATAATCTCTGCCTTATGGGTATTTTTTAAAGATACAGAAAACGTTTTAAGGACCACATTCCTGTTGTATAAAATGTTTAAAAGAAACTGAGAATTCCAAATATAAAGACAACAGTATCTTTATAAAGTTAAAAAAAATCCTGCTGCAGAAAATGATACTCCATTATGAGCAGGGTTCATTTAAAACCACATTCTTGTTTTGTAATTCGATATATTTCTTTTCCTGGTAGGAAGCACTGGTTCACGTCTTAGAAGTTTAAGGCAGTGGTTGTCAACTGGGGGCGATTTTGTCCCCCAGAGAACATTTAGCCATGTCTGAACACATTTTTTTATTATTACAGCAAAGCTAGCAGGTGAAATTCAGGGATGCTACCAAACATCCTACAACGCACATGACAGTCTTCCACAACAAAGAATTATCTGGCCCAAATATCAATAATGCTGAGGTTGAGAAATCCTAGCTTAAAAAAAAAAAAAAAAAATTCCCATTATTTTGAAAAATCAAATGTCTAAAATTACATCACATTACAAATCTAATAACTCTGTAACAAACAGCTAAAATAAAGACAGTCTACCTTATCACAATGTCGATCTAGCATTTTGTGTCTGGGGCAATCCTGCTCTATGTTTTCAGCAATGTTCTGTATTGCTAACATCTGTGCATCAATTTCCTGAAGCTTAGAGGTGAGATGCTCGAGCCGGCGAGCTGCAGAGCTCTGCGCAGGACGAGCGGCAGACACATCCTGCAGCGGCTCCCACAGCGGATCATCCTCTGCAGCAGCTGACTTTGAGCTCTGTTCTTTGAATCGAAAATCTGGCTTCGGCATATCTAAATATTAATAAAGGTAATCAATAACAGAATAGATTATAGAATTAAGGGAGAAGTAGATGCTGATGATCTAATTCTTTTGAAGACCTCATTTTAAGTCAACATAACATTCCCTTCTAAATCTGTTTCAATACACCCAGAAATAACACTTCAGTTTCTCAACTTCGGAGAGCTGTCTGTGGTGAGATAAGAATACATAACAGTATTACTATTACCACATAACTCCATATAGAAGGCAGTCTGAATGTTACTTTTACCCTCTGCTACAAAAACATACTTCATCAAAAAGCAACTTAATATTTTTTACTTTTTATTTATCTTAAAGATTTGCTTATTTATTTTGGGAGAGAGAGAGAGCATGGGGAGAGGGGCAGAGGGAGAGACTCTCAACCAGACTCCCCACTGAGGACAGAGCCCAGTGCAGGGCTTGATATCATGACCCTGAGGTCACGACCTGAGCCGAAATCAAGAGTTGGACACTTAACTGACTGAGCCACCCAGGTGCCCCTATTTTTGACTTTTTAAAACTCGACTTGAAAACCAACAGTGTCACACTGTAAAAGCTAGGCCCACTATGGGCCACCACCAACTCTACATGGGATGTCAGGCTAACATTAAACCTCCCAAGACCAGTATCAAAGCCAATGATTCTCCCTACTCTTAAACTCAATTGATTCTTGTCCCAAATTTGAAACACTTCTTTTTTAAATGTGTTATTTTTCCGGCTTCTGGGTCTCCTCCTCCCTCTATTGCTCTTCCTTCTTCGTTGTCTTCTTGTTCTTCTCTTCTGCCACCCACCCCTCTGACCCATCAGTACTTCCAGGGTGCCCGTCCCAGCTCACGTCTCACTCTACGCACTCTCCCTGGCTGATATCACTGGTGCACAGGTGACTCTCAAATTCACATGACATCTTCATGTGCTCCAGCCCTTAAATCCACCTATGTCCTGGATATCTCATTTAGGTTGTCCCAAAAGCCTATCAATTGAAACTCCTAGCTCTGCCCCTCCAACTTGCTCCCTCTTCCTGATTCTCCAGTTCAGTGAGTAGCATTATCATTCACCCACGTTCCTAAGTCAGAGGCCTGAGAGTCATTCAAGGTTCTTCTCTTTCCTTCAGATCCAAAGTAACACCAAATATTGATGGTTAGCAACCAAAACCTCCATTTCTACTACCATTGCTTAGCTGAAGCTTTCACAATAGATGGACCCCAAATAGCATCTCTATCTCTCATTTATTTTACCCCTATTTAGTTCACCTTCCACACAGATCCTTTAAAACATAAATGTGATATTGTTCCTTTCCCACCTCAAATTCTTCAGTGTTTCTCTAATTCCTTCATCTTAAAAATCCAAATGCCTCAGTATGAGGACAATGCCATTCAGTCCTTCCTCTGTCTCCCTCTCCAGCTCATCTCTTGCTATGTCTTAAACAAAACCACTCCACTGCCTCCAAGCAAACTTTAATTCTCTCAGCCTCTGCAGTCTCCATCAAACCTCTACGTCACTGCACAATCTAGTCTCTCAGTCTCACTAAGTCCTGCTTCCCTTTAAGATTCCACTGAGGTGTCTCTCCTAAACGTCTCCGTCCCCCCTAGAGATGGAGTAGATGCTGTATTTCCCAAGAATCTCATCCAGACCACCTTGACAGCACTTCCCAAGCTGTATCGTAACCTTCTGCTTCTCTACCTTCCTTTCCTCCTCTAGGTGAGCACCCAGCAGAGAGCCTGGTATTACGCTCTTCTTGAGCCCTGATATCTGGCCCCTGACTTAGTGTTTATTGAATAGCTGGTCAAATGAGGATTATGATGCCTGACCTACCTAACTTACAGAGGTTTTGTGAAGACTAAATTATGTAACAAAATACTCTGAAAAATGTGAATCCCTAAACAAGTGATTCAGCCCCAGGCCAGTGTGAGGCTTCCCATGAGAGGATAATGGCAAACTGCAATGCAGGCAATGGCCGTTGTGTCACTTTCCACTACCCATTTTGGCCTTTTTTTTTTTTTTTAAAGATTTTATTTATTTATCTGAGACAGAGAATGAGAGAGACAGAGAGCACATGAGACGGGGGAGGGTCAGAGGGAGAAGCAGGCTCCCCGCGGAGCAGGGAGCCCGATGTGGGACTCGACCCCGAGACTCCAGGATCATGACCTGAGCCGAAGGCAGTCGCTTAACCAACTGAGCCACCCAGGCGCCCGGCTTTTTTTTTTTTTTTTTTTTTTTTTTTAAGTAATCTCTACACCCAACATGGGGCTCAAACTCACAACCCCAAGATTAAGAGTCACATGCTCTAGTGACCGAGCCTGTCAGGAATGCCTGGCTTGACCTTCTCCAGCTTGACTCTCAGAGTACTTTACCATCTATCCTTCCTGTTTTCAGCAGCTTAAAGTGTCTCCCTTAGTCACTCTCAGGAAAGAATTTTGTATACAAACTTCGAGTAGAAAATACAGCAAAAGAGCTGGACATGCTCAAAATCCAGAATGGCCTACAGACATAATGAAACTAGCTTCCCTCTCTTTAGAGAATCTGTTCCACTCCCACTGACTAATAGGAAAAATCACCTAGAGGGTTAAATACTGAGCTCCATTGACCCTGAAAAATTCTCTCTGGCCAGCAAAGCTCTGCTTGCTATTAATAGCTGAAAGCATTCCTACTGGAGATAGTTTCTAAAATAGGGAACTACTGTCATTCAAAATGGTGAGCAAGTAGCACTAAAAGTAAGAATTTATCATTTGCTTTGCTTTTGTTTTAAATACCTAGGGACCCTGTCCCTCCTCCCAGCCTTTTCCTATAATACAAATCCATTCAACTCTATTATGTAACTAGGTTCTGAATCTTTAAGGTGTATTATGTAAATACCATGATGGAATATTTTCAAAATATAAAACACATCCTTTTAAATTGGCATTTTAAAGTTGTTCTCTTTAATAAGAGTAGAAGGGTCCACCGATACATTTTTGTAGCCAGTCTCCCCAGAGAAGGATCTTCCAAAAGGCTGAATAGACTTGATCTGACTGATGAAAGAAATTAACCTGTAGCTCGTGGTCATTTGAAATGCTGGCCAAGGATATTCAGGGGTAACAAAGAGATGCGTCTGGTTCCAGTTTGGCAGAATTTCAAAAGTTGACTGTTGTGAAATGAAGGGAAACTAGCCCACAGGCATATTTTTTAAAGATTTATTTATTTATTTTAGAGAGAGAGAGAGAGAGAGCAAGAGAGAGAGCATGGGGGGGGCAGGGATGGAGGGAGAGGAAGAGAGAGAGAGTCTTAAGCAGACTCTGCGCTGAGTGCAGAGCCCCACAAAGGGCTCAATCCCATGACCCTGAGATCACAACCTGAGCCGAAACCAAGAGTCAGATGCTCAACTGACTGCACCACCCAGAAGCCCCAGGGAGCCCACAGGCATTGGCTAGATGTAACCCACATGATAACCCAATGAGGTTGTATCCCACAGAGATATAAGTAAGTATCAGATAAATTTAATTTACTTGCAAAAAGTATCCAAACTATGAAGGGATAGAGCTGGGACCAAAAACCAGGTCTGTTCTACTTGAATCTAGAAGTCAAGCTCTTTTCATTTCCCACACACTTCCCCAGCCTAAAAGACTGTTAGTTTCATACATTCTCCCTTCAATACCTATACACCAAACAGCCCCATGACAGGAGAGAGAATGGGCCAAGGCTTCAAAATCTGACATACTAGCACTTACTGGTATACACAGCTGTAACAGACATGCCCTGACACATCCTAACGTGAGGTTTCCCGGCCACCCATCCCTTTCTTACTCCTCACATCTCCTGAGTGCCCACTGTTGATACACAATTAGCAGGCAGGGCTGGACTGTGCCCCCAAGCATCTAACAACCACAAGGCTGGGTGCACTCCTCCTAGCAGCTGTGGAACCCAGAAGACAGACTGGCTTTCTGCTGCAGGAAGTCTGATGGCATATTAAGATGAATCTAATCAGAAAAAAAAAAATAATAAATTAAAAAAAAAAAAAAAGATGAATCTAATCAGGGGCGCCTAGGTGGTTAAGTGTCTGCCTTCGGCTCAGGTCATGATCTCCAGATCCTGGGATCGAGCCCCGAGTTGGGCTCCTGGCTCAGCGGGGAGTCTGCTTCTCCCTCTCCCTCTCCCCCTCCTCATGCTCTCTCTGTATCAAATGAATAAATAAAATCTTTTAAAAAAAGATTAATCATGGGTGCCTGGGTGGCTCAGTTGGTTAAGCAACTGCCTTCAGCTCAGGTCATGATCCTGGAGTCCCAGGATCAAGTCCTCCCGCATCGGGCTCTCTGCTCGGCAGGGAGTCTGCTTCTCCCTCTGACCCTCCCCCCCTCATGCTCTCTCTCTCTCAAATAAATAAATAAAATCTTTAAATTAATTAATTAATTAATTAATTAAATAAATAAAAAAAGAGTAATCATTCATAGGATGTAATAACTTTAGGTTTTGGAGAAATATTCTTCTAAATCTTGCAAATATTTTACAATAATGCAACCTAATTTATAACTATAACTATATTATTTTACTAATAATATTTTACTGTTGGCTAAATACCTGTGTATATTCTATGTGCTATTCTAGAATCTCCCACCTTTTTAAATAGGAGAATTCCTTTTTAACACCAAAGCACTCATGACATCCCATAGGATATTTATTTTTAGCTCCTTAATTAAGAAAAGACATATGTACAAACAGATCTGTAGTCTCCTTGCAAAATAATGGAACCATGACTTTGGAACCATGACTCTACCTCATTTACCTATCTGAGCCCTCTCTCCTTAGCAAGGGAAAAGCCTTTTCCTGGTTTCTTTTGCAATTACCAAGTTTTATAACTTGTTTCTATATATCAGTAATTTAGGGAAGGGGGAGAGTCATGTTATATATTCAGGGCATTCACCTCTGGCCTGCTGTATTTCTGATGGTATAGGTGGGGTGATCCCAGGCTCCTTCACCTCTGTACTGCCTGCTCTCCAGCTTCTTCCAGCCAGACAGGATGGAGACACTTCCGCAGGTTTAAAAAATAAATCCATAGTGGAATTGGCAGACTCTATCAAGAATATGAAAAGCATACAAAGATTGATTTTCTAACCTTCTAAACAAGGTAGTTAGAAGATTAACAGAACATTTCTAGGGGCGCCCAGGCGGCTCATTCAGTTAAGCCTCCAACTCTTGATTTTAGCTCAGGTCATGATCTCAGGGTCATGAGATAGAGCCCCACATCAGGCTCTGCACTGGGAATGGAGTCTCCTTGAGATTCTCTCTCCCTCACCCTCTGCCCTCCCCTGCCAAAAGAACATTTCTAAATGTGAATATAAACATCCAAAAGTATAGCGGGTTTGCAGGAGAAGAGCTAAGAGACTTAAGAAGGGGTAACAATGCTATATTAAAGAATTTTTCAAATGTTTTTAATCTACTTAAAAAGTAGGAAAAAATTATTACCTTCACTCTTAAAACTGTGCAGGGGAACAGCATTTGTAACTGAAGCTGCCATATAATGTAACTCTGCAGAAGATGGGGCCTCCAGATGATCACTTGGCTGTTTGATAATAGTATCATTTGAAGGCTCTTCTTTGACAGGCAATTCCGGTAGATCATCAGCTTTAATGTCAATCACATTTATGTAAGTGTGTCCAACCTGAACCAAAACACATAAAATCAAAGAGGGTTACATTCTTTTTACTCTGTAGGGCCAGTCTGCACCCTTTGGCCTTGTTAAAAAAGGAAAAAAGAGAGATTTAATTCTAAAGGCAAGAAGAGCTTATATGAGTCTAACTTAGGGAAAACTGCAGGAAGTATGTGTTATGGTCTTAGTTTACAATACTTTGGGGCATAATATTGAAATCTTATTTTTTTTTATCTTTCCAACAAAGCTACATAGAATGCCAATTTAGGCTCATTTCATCTATACAATTAAATAATGCAGGTAATCATAATAAATTTTAGCAAATGTATTATTATAACCTCTGAATAGCAATACCAAATTTAGTACCAGATCAGACGGTGAAGGTGACAAAGGTTTCTCTGATATTTCATTGGGAAGTTTGAGATTTAGACATACATCAGAAGCCAACATTTGAGGAACATTCGAAGGTTCATGTTCTGAAACTTAAGAAAAGAAAATCAGGAATATAAAAAAAAATCTGTAAATAGCTCTGAGTCATTAGCATTATAACAAGTTAGCAGCAAACAACATAAAATTTTTTTTGTTATAAATCTAAGTAGGGGGCGCCTAGCTAGCTCAGTCAGTGGAGTATATGGCTCTTGATCTCGGGGTTCTGAGTTTGGGTCCCACTTTGGGCCCCACTTTGGGTGAAGAGATTACTTAAAAATAAAATCTTAAAAAAAATCTAAATAGAAGTTTCACAGATATAAATAAATTCTATTCTATTCTAAAGGCAATTTACTCTAGAGTAATTCATAGTTGAATAGAGACTGATTATTGAATGATTATATGAATGATTCACAAGGATAATAAAGTATCTAAGTCATGTGAAGAAAATGCTGTAATTTCCTGGGTGGCTCAGTCAGTTAAGTGTCTGACTCTTAATTTCAGTGCTCGCTTCAGCAGCACATATACTGACTCTTGATTTCAGCTCAGGTCTTAGTCTCAGGGTTGTGAGCTCAAGCCTCATGTTGGGCTCCATACTGGGCATGGAGAAGAAAGAAGGGAAGGAAGGAAGGAGAGAGAGAAAGAGAGAGAGAGAAAGAAAGAGAGAGAGAGAAAGAAAGAAAGAAAGAAAGAAAGAAAGAAAGAAAGAGAAGAGAAAATGTTGTAATTTCCTATTTCCATTTCAGATATATTAAGTCATGTTTGTTTAGGAGATTACCAAAAAACCTGTTTAGGAAATTAACCTATAACTAATTTGTTTTTTTACTGTCAACACTTTTTCTTATTATTCATTTGTTTTAACAGCTTTATTGAGATATAATTTACATCCATTAAAAGGGCACAATTCAGGGGTGCCTGGGTGGCTTAGTTGGTTAAGCATCTGACTTTTGATTTCTGCTCATGATCTCAGGGTCATTAGGTCAAGCCCCAAGTCAGGCTCCACGCTGGGCATGGAGCCTGCTTAAGATTCTCTATCTCCCCCACCCTCTGCCCCTCCCCATCCCGCTGCTTGGGGTACACTCATCTCTAAGATAAGATGAGATGAGATAAGACAAAATAAAACAAAATAAAATAAAATAAAATGGCACAACTCAGTATTCAGTACTTTCCAGTATATTCACAGAGCCCATGGCTAAATTTTACCACTTAAAAAGTGTTTAACATCTAAATTTTACAAAAGTCATTAGCTTCTTATTCAAAAGTACAACAAAGAAGCCTGTCACAATAGGTCAGCAAATGGTCTAACTCTGTGCTTTTTGTCCTAGGACTCTAGTTTTACTTCCTAGCATCTTATTTTTAATAGAACATTACTTTCAAATTTCATATGTAAAATATAACTTCTTGTTATATTGAATACTGGAAACCTGTTACCAAGGATTGAATTTAAACCATATGACAACCCAAAAACTTTAGAAAAAGGAAAGTGAAAATATTTAAATTATCTTTCTATCTCTATTGAATCAATTGATGGGTTTTATTGCTTTTTTATGGATGGTGGTAACTCTTGTTTTGGCATCACAAAAACATAGTCTTTAATTAGTAATGTTATGCTCAGGAAAAAAAGAAAAAAAGCACATCTGATATGGAAGAAATGATTTGTTGATTTTTACAACATTCAGAAACAACTTCTTGAGAAGTAGCTTTTTTATCTTGTAATGATTTCGAAGATTTGAGGCAAAAAAAGAAAACAGAAAAAATTTCACAAACAGAAAAAATTAAATATATGAATGCAGATTTCTAGATATATATATTAAAGGTAGTTAATTGACTTTTAAAAATTAAGAATTTAATTTTAGAAATTAATGATATTTCTGATTTTATTATTATTCATCCTGGGCCTGATCACCTGGATGATAACAGACTTCTAACAAGCAGGCTGCCAATTCTAGAAGACTATCTAGCAGTAAATTACTTCCAAGGCTTTCTTAAAGGCTTTCTCTTATAAGAATGTTTCTCAAATGCATATGCACCATTTGCAACAAAAAACGTCAACCTCATTCAGATAGAAACAAAAACTGAATAGTGAGATGCCTTTTTATGACTTATTAGATGGGTAAAGATAAAAGAATTAGGTAAATCACAGTGATAACCAAAACAAAGGCTCATATGTGAGAAGATACTCACTGAAACATTATTTATAGAAGAAAATACTGGAAACCACCTAATGCACTCAACAATAAAGAATTAGGTAAATATTTTATGGCACAGCTGGAAGAAGGAATATGCTTACAAAGTACTTTTTGATGACATGCGGCAATGTATGGCATAAGCAGAAATCAAAGTGAAAAGCAAAGGATGCAAAATATAGGTAAATTCTGTTATCCAAATCCAATCCATTCTTACAAATGTGCTGCACAGATACCAAGAGACTTTTTAAATGGGGGAAAAAAAGGTGTCCCAGCCCAGCCCATCCAATACTCCCAAACATTAAATAATTCTTAAACATCTAAATAACTATGCATCAAGGATTATTAAATATAAAGCATTTTAAACATCACTTCTTAATTAGCATTCATTTAACCCATTAGTTTGTGTGCATATGTAATAATACAGACCATATCAGATAGAATACTGATACTCTACTGTAAACATATACTATAATGTAAGTAAACATATAGTATAATATAAATAAACACTATACTATAATGTAAGTATATACCACAATGTATATGCTATATACATATATATATACACATACACACACACTATATATGTATAAACTATACTATGTAAATAAATAATGAAATAATATGTTAAAGAGACAGTCTAACTGGAGAGTGTCCAAACGTAGCCAGGCAAAAAACAAACACTGGGACCCATGAAGGGTTAAATTCTCAGGGAAGATAGCAATAATATTTGGAAGATTAAAGTTCAGATAGTGAGGCAGGACACCTGTAATGTATACTATATCAAACTATGTAAAATGTGCAAAAGACTGAAAGAAAAATCATCAAAATGTTACTTCTAGGGCGCCTGCTGGTTAAGTGTCCAACTCTTGGTTTTGGCTTGGGTTGTGATCTCGGGGTTGTGGGATCAAGCTCCACACTGGGCTCCACACTTAGCACAGGGTCTGCTTGAGTTCCTCTCTCTCTGCCCCCCCAAAATCTTTTTAAAAAATATTACTTCTAAGTGGTATGATTATAGTTAATTTCATCTTCTTCATAGCTTTGCTACATTATCCAAATATTCTATAAAGATCATATATTATTTTGAAACCATATCAATAAATACTATTTTAAAATAATATAAAATTAGAGGTTTAAAAAAGCACTTGAACACAGTTCTGAACACAGTTAAAAGCAACTGTTTCCTAAATATCATAGAAAAGAATTTCTACAACACAAAGGTCAGAGCACTTACATGAATGAGGAAGTTCGTCAGGCAAAATTCCAAATAATAGTTCCTTCAACTTTTATTTCCTCTGTTCTTGGACACAGTTACATATGCCCTTCCCACACCAACCCAATCTAGTCCTCTTCCTAACTCAACTTCGCCAGCCATACATAGCTCCAGGCTTCTCGGTCTTAGGCATGAAATCCCAGTGAAGGCAATTAATGGCATAGAGAACCCAAATTCAAAATATTATTTCTACTGATTGAGGATGTAGTCCATGGTATTTTGAACAAAAATTTCTATTATGCTTTAATTATCATAAATCCAATTTAAAATTTAATTTTAAGTTTAAAATTTGTGAAGTACATACCAGGATTGAGGATAAGAACCTGGGATGAGTAACTACTATCACTTAACTTAAAATTCATGTTAAATCATTGTTTTGAAGAAAAAGTCTAGATATATTAAATGTTGCAAAAATATGTGAATTTTAAAAATTAAGGTAAAATAGCATTTTACCTGGGTCTGTATTTGTACTTGCATCCTGACATTCTACAGCTTTCTTTCTCACAGAGGCCATGAAGTGCAATCCAGCTGAAGTATTAATATCATCTTGTAGCATTTCTTAAATATAACAACAAAACATGAAAGCAATCACTCAGAAGCCAACATTTTACCTGGAGTCCAAAACCAGAGTACCTAACTCAAGGGAAGTAAGGTATGAGGTGCCAAGATGTTATCGAAATGGACTTTCTGAATGAGGTGCTGCCTATGTTAACTCTCAAAGGCAGCTCAGTGAAATAAAAAGCAAAATTGTGGAGGATTCTGTATGTCCAGGCTAGAAACATAGATGTTCTGCCTGATGAAGATCCAGTAGAAAATGTTAAACATGAAAATGATATGGTCAGATTGATATTCTAGAAAAACCCCCCAGCCAGGGTATGGAAAGCAGATTCTAGTGGCTTCAGACGGATGAGGCTGCTGTAAACAGTTCAGATCAGTACCTCCAGTAATGGTGAAAAATGGAGGAGAGATGATAAATTTACAAATTACAAAGGAGGTAAAACAGACAAGACCTGGGTATTGATTAGATGAGAAGGTGGGGGAAGGCAGAATTCAGATAACCTATGTTCTGGGGTTGAGTGACACCAATGGAGATGGAGAATGAGGAGAACAAACCAGCTGCTGGAGGAGGGACAACAAATTTGGACTGCACATGCGGCACTTGAGGTGATTTCCACCCAAGTGAAAAAGTTCGGCAGCAAGTAGAATCCAAGTCCAAAGTCTATTCTGGGAGTTTGGGTTTAGATGTGGATTTTCCTGAGAGATCATCCAGGACAACTAAGTCGCACAAGAGATTATCAATTATGGCACATTATAGTATAATAAAAAAATATATATTTGGCCTTCATCCTTGGTTCTAAGGGTTTGAGTTCCTTAAATCTTCGGAATTTCCTGAGTAATTTCCTGTCGTTATTCATGATGTGCCCCTTTTGATCATATCTGAGTTTATGCTAATGAGGTGACTCTTGACTTTTGCCCCTAGATAGCTTCAGGATAGGTGCTGGTCACCAGAGGAACAAACCACATGATCAGCCTCACCCCACCCCTACCTCTGTGGAAGGGAGAGCCGCTGGAGATGTAGTTCAATCACCAATGGCTAATGATGTAATCAACCATGCCTATATAATGAAATGTCAATAAAAATCCTGAAACAATGAGGCTAAGGGGCCTTCTCCATTGATGAGCAAGGGGAGTCCCAGAGAGGGTGTGAAAACTCTGTGCCTTTATGCATCTCTTCCATTTGGCTATTCCTGAATTGTATCCCTTATAAACAAAACTGTAATCAGAAGTAAAGCACTTCTCTGAGTTCTGGAATCACTGTAGCAAATTAGTGAACCTGGAGGGTGAGTCATGAGAATCCGTGAATGTGTAGTAGACTGGGCAAAAGTGCAGGTGTATGGGGACTGAGCCATTCATCTGTGGGATCTGTGTTAACTCCAGGTTATTGTCAGAATTGAACTGGTGTCAGAGAATTGGAGAATTATTGTTGTTTGAAATGATACAATACACATCCACTGGAGTACTATGCAGTAATTAAAAATGACATTGTAGAAGAATATCTAGTGATATGGGAAGATACTTACCTTATCACTAGTATGTAAAAACAAGTAAGTTATAAACAAGTAGAGGAGGTATTCTTTATATATATATAATAAATAATATGCAAATTTATATTAAGCATATATTTATTAATATATAATTATTAAATGTTTAATCTTTAATTTGATATTAAATATATATTAAATAAATAATAAAATATTAATTTATATAAGTACATATAAATACATGTTATTTATAGATATATATGAGTGGAGATATTTAAAAAATAAACCTTGGAAGAATATTAACACTGGCTATCTCTAGACAGAAAAATTATGGGAGTTTTTTTTTGGGGTGGAAGAGTTTAATATTCTTCCTATTCCCTATTTGTATTTTCTAAATTTTCTCCAGTGAACATGTATTACCTTCACAAAGCAAAACAAAAGAAAACACTGTTAAGAATGAAAAAGAAAGTGGTTTTAAGACAAGTGAGTGGGAAAGAACACCAGATGGGTTAGGAAGCTTAGAGAGAGAAGCTAAGCAGGTCAGTTAGGGAAAAAACTGCTTAGTTTAGGCATACAGAGGCTTGATGCAGGGCAATGGTATCAAGTAAGGGAGGGAGGGGGCACCTGGGTGGCTCAGTTGGTTAAGCATCTGCCATCAGCTCAGGTCATGATCCCAGGGTCCTGGGATCAGCCCCGCATTGGGCTCCCTGCTTGGTAGGGAGTCTGCTTCTCCCTCTGCCTCTCCACCCCCCACCCTGGCTTATGGTCTCTCTCATTCACTCTTTCTCTCAAATAAATAAATAAAATCTTTAAAAAAAAAAAAAAAGAAAGAAAGAAAGGAAAGGGAGGGAGAGAGGACCAGGTCAAGGAATAAGTGAAGGAAGGGGTAACAAAGCTCAAACATGAGGGATAAAGCAAGGGTGACTTTCAAGGTAAAAATCTTGACCAGTCAAGAGGCGCCTGGGTGGCTCAGTCATTAAGCGTCTGCCTTCGGTTCAGGTCATGATCCCAGGGTCCTGGGATCGAGCCCCGCATCGGGCTCCCTGCTCGGCGGGAGGCCTGTTTCTCCCTCTCCCACTCCCCCTGCTTGTGTTCCTGCTCTTGCTCTCTCTCTCTGTCAAATAAATAAATAAAATCTTTAAAAAAAAAAAAAAATCTTGACCAGTCAAGAGAATAGTGATATCACTAATAGCAAGATGTCAGTTTAAAATCTGGACATGGGGGCACCTGGTTGGCTCAGTTGGTTAAGCAACTGCCTTCAGCTCAGGTCATGATCCTGGAGTCCCAGGATAGAGGCCCGCATCGGGCTCCCTGCTCAGCGGGGAGTCTGCTTCTCCCTCTGACCCTCCCCCCTCTCATGTGCTCTCTCTCTCTCTCTCAAATAAATAAAATCTTAAAAAAATAAATAAAATCTGGACATGTAGCAGATGCCTGGGCTCAGTCGTTTAAGTAGCTGCCATCGGCTCAGGTCATGATCCCGGGATCCTGGGATTGAGCCCCTCGACCGTTGCTCAATGGGGAGTCTGCTTCTCCCTCTGCCTCTGCCCCTCTGGCCCCCCTCCCTGCTGCTCATGCTCACTCCCTCTCTCTCAAACGAATAGATAAAATCTTTAAAAAAATAAAATAAAATAAAATTTGGACATGTTAAACCTAAGATGAAAGTAAAAAAGAAAGATGAGAGAGGGCAGATGTATATTTGAGTGTCATCAAAACAATTTAAGAGCTGAAGTCATGAGAGTGAATGTTTGTGTATATGTGTACGAAAATCACTGAGGAGAAAGTCTTGGGGAACACATGCATTTGGTAGCAAGAAATCAACTGACCAACTAGAGAAAGAAAAGAATTTCCTATCTTATAAACAAGTACTCTTTTCTGAACTGATTCCTTACTTTAATGTGCATGTATTTTTTATGAAGAATTCAACAGGCATGTTTCCATAATTTCCTTTTAGGCCTTATATATCAGTATCTTATTTGAGATTCTAATTAATTGTGCTGTTCTACTATAGGGATCAACAAATTTTTTCTGTAAAGGGCCAGAAAATATTCTAGGCTCTGCAGATTGTACGTTTCCTCTTGCAACAAGTGAGCCCTGCTGCAGTATAAAATCTGTCGAAAGCAATGTGTAAATACATGGGCATAGCTCTGGGGGTGCCTGGGTGGCTCAGCTGGTTAAGCGACTGCCTTCGTCTCAGGTCATGATCCTGGAGTCCCTGGATAGAGTCCCGCGTCGGGCTCCCTGCTCAGCAGGGAGTCTGCTTCTCCCTCTGACCCTCCCCCCTCTCATGTGCTCTCTCTCTCTCAAATAAAATCTTAAAAAAAAAAAAAAATGGGCATAGCTCTGTTTCAGTAAAACTCGACTTACAAAGGGGCAGCTGGGTGTGCAGTCATTAAGCCTCTGACTCTTAGTTTCGGCTCAGGTCGTAGCCTCAGGGTCATGAGACCAAGCACCATGTCAGGCTCCACACTCAGAGGGCAGTTGGCTTGAGATTCTCCCTCTCTCCCTCTGTCTCTGCCCCTCCCCCACTCATGTTTTCTCTCTCTCTCTCTAATAAATAAATAAATCCTTAAAAATTTTGATTTATAAAAACAGGCATGTCTGGATCTGGCCTGTGGGCCATAGTTTCAACCACTGCTCTACCAGATAACACATCAAAACACACACACACACACACACACACATTCCATTTGTCAAAGATAAAATGAAAATAATTTAGTCTCATTTTTACATACACAATGCTAAAAGTGGATTTCAACTTTGAACTGAGACACTGCATTAATCATGCTTATACATACCAAAAGGAATATCGAAGTCATCCAAAGGCTGGGAACCAGGATGTTCTTGTTGCTCCTAAATGAATCCCCAAATGATCAATCATGATTGTAACTCAAAGACATTCATTATTTTGAAAAAAAAATTCAATAGCTAAGAGGATTGCTGAATGTTTATGTATAGGCTTGAATCCATTTGAGAAATATTTATTCTATCAAAGTAACTCCACAAAGAAGTTCACAAAACTCACAAACCAAGCAATAAAAAGGAACATTACTAATTTAATGCAGTTACTAAATTACAGTGTGCAGCTTTAACACTCAAATAGTGCCCCCACCCTATCAAAACTGCTCACAGACTCACCAATGTTACTAAATGCCTCCAGGCACGCTCTTGAGGCTTACTGAAGTGTGCTTTTAAAAAATCCTTGTAAACAAAACTGTTAATGTTTATTTAATTTGTTGCAAAAATAGGTAAATAGTCAGAAGGAATGTTTGAAAAGATCTGATTTCAATATATAGGTTACTTAATAAATCTGTGTGTGGGAAATGCTGGAGGCATCTAAAAGAGGTCAAACTACTTAATAGGAGCAAACCAAAGAACATATATGACATGCATTAAGATGTCACAGAAAAAAGCAAGGAGTGATTTCAAATATAAAAAAAGGCACAAAGGCAGGTAAATCAAAAATTTGCTTTGCAACTATATGTCCACTATTCCATGGAGGAATGCAGCAGGGCTTATGTACTTGATGATGTAAAGATTTCTCCTGGTCAAATCAGAAGCTTCCAGCAATCAGAAGACTAGATAAACCACAAAGACATTCCCATCTCTGTGTACATGCAGACCAGGGAGGCATGTATAGTCGTGTTTCTGTACCTTGGGTTTCATAACTATTTCTGAATCATTATCATTCACAAGGGAACCCTCTGGTTGGAAAGCCACACTTGGTTTTCTCTTTAGTTTCTCTGATCTTTTTTCTTGTAGCTCTTTCTCAGCTCGTCGTCTTTGTCTGTTAAAAGCAAGAAAATAAAACATGTTACTATTTTAGTAACATCAGTTTTTTTTTTTTAAGATTTTATTTATTTATTCATGAGAGACAGAGACAGAGGCAGAGCGAGAAGCAGGCTCCCCGCGGAGCAGGGAGCCCGATGCGGGACTCGATCCCAGGACCCTGGGATCATGACCTGAGCCGAAGGCAGACGCTTAACCGACTGAGCCACCCAGGCGTCCCAGTAACATCAGTTTTTCACTGACATGATGCTATACAGGGAGACAGTTATCAAAATTATGCCAATAATATTTTCAATGGCATATAATTAAATTAGCAAGATACTTTGATAGAATTCAAGCAAATAGAAGCAAATGTCAGGGAGACATGAAAGTTATTTTTAGTTCCTCTCCTACTGAACTGACTTTTCTGTGTTAGTCACTGGAATCTCAGGTCAGAGTCACACCAGTTAGGGAATTTTCAAACTCTCTTTTCTGCAGACTCTGAGCTGACCCCAGAAGCTCTATGGGATGCCTCCAGTCACTCTTCTGAAGAAGTTAAGCACACTTAAAGTCACCTCAGTGAAATCCCAGCAAGGAGGAAAGAGGGCCCAAAAAGTTAAGGAGAAGACTTACTTTGACGAGGGAATACCTGAAAAAGATGGAAGGAAGGAAACATTTCTGGAAAGAGAGCACTGGTAGTAGATTTTAGGGTCTGATAAACGTGAAATTCTTTTTTTTTTTTAAGATTGTATTTATTTATTTGAGAGAGAGGGAGAGAGAGAGAGCACGAGCAGGGGGAGGGGCAGAGGGAGAAGCAGACCCCCTGCTGAGCAGGAAGCCTGACTCAGGGGCTCCATCTCAGGATCCTGGGATCATGACCTGAGCTGAAGGCAGACACCCAACCAACTGAACCACCCAGGTGCCCCTAAATGTGCGATTCTTTTTTTTTTTTTTTAAAGATTTTATTTAATTGTTTGAGAGAGAGAAAGAGAGAGTCCAAGCAGGGGGAGGGGCAGAGGGAGAAGGAGAAGCAGACTCCCTGCTGAGCAGGGAGCCCGATGCGGGGCTCGATCCCAGGACCCTGGAATCATGACCTGAGCCGAAGGCAGACGCTTAACTGAATGAGCCACCCCGGCGCCCCCTAAATGTGCAATTCTTAAAGTATTTTCTAGACTCAGTAGTAATCTACCAGTCAATACATTTTTGAATACCCATTATGAGTAAAACAGCATAAATGCTCTTCATCAGAAGTCACAGCCTTGCTTTTTACATGCATGTTTCTTAGTGTCCTGAAACACTTCTAATGTAAGAATCTGGAGGCTATGGTAAGATGAATAACAATATTACTTCAGTGCATTAGATAGTACATGGAATATTGTATGAGATACCAAATATTTATCCTACAAAAAGTAAACTGCTCATAATGTTACAGAAAAATATAAAAGAGGGGCGCCTGAGTGGCTCAGTTGGTTAAGCGACTGCCTTCGGCTCAGGTCATGATCCCAGGGTCCTGGGATCGAGCCCCACACTGGGCTCTCAGCTCAGCGGGAAGCCTGCTTCTCCCTCTCCCTCTCCCCCTGCTTGTGTTCCTGCTCTCGCTGTCTCTGTCTCTGTCAAATAAATAAATAAAATCTTTAAAAAAAAAGAAAAATATAAAAGAATCTTCCAGCCTATGAATTCCAGTAAAGAATTCCTTAATAAAATGGAAAAAATATTTCCCTCTCACACTATAGGAATTTTCCTCATCACAAGATGTGTTCAAATGCATGACACTTGATAAGAAAATTGAATATGCAGTTGTGCATAGGCTGGGAGGATGAACTAGATAATTTACCTTTATAACTATGATATTTTAACCAATAATACATTTGCAGGTAAGTGATATTCTCAAATAAAATTTCACTTAAAACTTGCCTTTTTTTACTGTCCTTTCCTTGTCTCACTTCAGATGGTTCTATTTTGACATTTAGAAGCTGAAGGTGTCCAGAATCGCCTCGTTCAAATAAATTATGTGTTAGTTTCTCTTGGCTTTGTTTGAATGCAATGAGGTTTTCAAGTGGAATAAGTTGTGGGTTTTTGTACTGTAAGAAATAAAGAATAATTTAAAATTACAAACCTCAATTATATGCTAATAAAAACTGAGAAAAACATTTGTTTAAATGAAGTTAAAATATGCGAGAGATAGAACATGTTAAGATAACAAATTAATTTGGCCCAGTAAGATGAGTATCCAAAGCTTAAAGAATAAATGATTTTAGAGGACGAGAAATGCGAACTGGGTCATCTTATTTCAGAAGCTAAGCTAGAAATCCTAATCTTTTTCTTTTCTATATTAAAAATCTTCCTTATAATTATAAATAAAATACATAACATCTGGCATTTGACTTAAAATTCTTTCAAACAGGGAAGATACAGAGAAGTGGAGATTATGCATGGAACAGATTTAGCAGTATGTTTAATAATAAGTACTGATGTCAGGTGATGTAACTTGGGGGTTCATTATACCATCCTAATAAAATTTCTTTTTTTTTTTTTTTAAAGATTTTATTTATTTATTCATGAGAGAGAGAGAGAGAGGCAGAGGGAGAAGCAGACTTCCCGCAGAGTGGGGAGCCCGATGTGAGACTCGATCCCAGGACTCCGGGACCATGACCTGAGCCGAAGGCAGACGCTTAACCATCTGAGCCACCCAGGCGCCCAATAAAATTTCTTTAAGTCCCTCTCAAAATGTTTACTTTTCCACACCTTTAATCTTTTCTTTTCTGTTCATAGTATATTCAGAATAAAAGGCATGATAAGTACTTCCTCTAAAGAATGACCATTTCTTTTCCCAATACTGTCTTCAAATCTTAAAATTAAAAGTGCACCAGAGCATGAATTATTCAATTACCTTCCTAAGATGGTACCACTGACTTACAAAATTAGAGCCTAAACAATATGAATTTCATAAATCAAAGCTTACAACTTTAGAGAGGATTCTGTGGGTTTATAAAGATTCAATCTTTTTAAGTACTTTAAAAATAAACCATTTTTAAAATATGCACAACTATTTATAGATCTGCATCTATTTAACAGTTTTAAACTATAACTGAAGGCAATCATATCACAATTACTTGGAATATTAATGCATGTGTGCACATTTACACACGTGCCCTCCCTTTCTCTACACACACACACACACACACACACACACACGACCCACATGAACAAGAATACTGGTCATTTTGTTTTATTTCTTATCTCTTCTCTGAACAGAAGAAATACCTACGAAAAAGTCTCACGAGGGACGCCTTGGTGGTTCAGTTGGTTAAGCATCTGCCTTCAGCTCAGGTCATGATCCCAGAGTCCTGGGATCGAGTCCCAAATCGGGCTCCCTGCTCAGCGGGGAGACTGCTTCTGTCTGCCTGTCGCTAACCCTGCTTGTGCTATCTCTCTGACAGATAAATAAAATCTTAAAAAAAAAAGTCTCACGAATTCTAGTATTGCCATACAAGACAGACCTAACAGCTTTAAAATTCCTAATCACCATTTTATTTATTTTTTAAAAGATTTTTTGGGGCGCCTGGGTGGCTCAGTCGTTAAGCGTCTGCCTTCGGCTCAGGTCATGATCCCAAGGTCCTGGGATCGAGCCCCGTGTCAGGCTCCCTGCTCGGCGGGAAGCCTGCTTCTCCCTCTCCCATTCCCCCTGCCTGTGTTCCCTCTCTCGCTGTGTCTCTCTCTGTCAAATAAATAAATAAAATCTTTAAAAAAAAAAAAAAAAGATTATTTATTTATTTATTTGACAGAGAGACACAGCCTGAGAGGGAACACAAGCAGGGGGAGTGGGAGAGGGAGAAGCAGGCTTCCCGCCGAGCAGGGAGCCTGACACGGGGCTCGATCTCAGGACCCTGGGATCATGACCAGAGCCGAAGGCAGACGCTTAACGACTGAGCCACCCAGGCGTCCCGCCTAATTACCATTTTAAACTAGAATTTTATGTTATTTCCAATAACAGAAGCATTATTTTTATTAATTTTTAATTTTTTTAGAAGCATTATTTTTTTAAAAAGAAATGTGTAAGAGCTTTTCATTTCATGTGTAGTATTTATGGTATGAAAAATGCAGGACTGCTTTTGCATCACTCTGCAAAAATCATTACCGTGTTTTTGGGGTATAGGCATGAATGAAGTAATGACAGCCTTGGGTATTTTCTTTCTTCTGCTACAGTTCTGGTAGGTATTGAGGGAATTGTTACTGATGCTCTTGAGGCAGAGGAAAATATATAAGGAGGTTTAAGTTGAAGGTGCAATAATGGAAGTCCAAAGGAATTCTGAGGAGATATCTCAAGGGGTCCTGGCTTAACATCAAGTATTTTCCCTGGTTTTATAAATACTGAAGAGTCCTGTTGAGGTGTCAAGTTTTCTTGACCAACATACTGATCCAAGTTCACATGCTTAGTGATTTCTGTAATTACAGTTTCTGGCCATTTCTTCTGCTCAACTGCTTTTTTTATGGCTTCAGTATTATAGTGGCTCAAACTCAGATGGGACACTGAAGTGGTGTGCACTGTTCTCTGTGGCAAAGGAGGCTGGAAGGAATCTGATAATCCCCATGCCTCTCTTGGCTGCGGCAGGAGCCTGAAGGGAACTTGTGGAACTCTTCCTGTATGGAAGGAAAGGGACTTCAATTCATGCTTAGCCTGAAACTGAAGCAAAGGAAAACCATCTCCAGGTTTGAAAGTTTTTGCAGCTGGGATGAGTCCAGGTGTCTTCAGGATGGCAGAAGATGGAGACAGAAGGTGGAGGGGAGTGTTTCCAGTAGGAGCTGGAGACAGTGCAGCGGTTGGGAAGCTTGGAGATGTTGGAGTCAGTCCTGTGTTGGGAGGCAGGCCTTCTAACTGACATAAAGGAACACTCCCATGTGGAACATTCTGGAAGAGAAAAAAAAAGCTATTACATAAGTTTAGAATATATTACAAACTCCTTATTTTGTACATGATGTTCAATATATTTTGGAAGGAGTGAAATGTAATAACTGCCAAAAAGTTATTTGCTCAAATAACAAAAAGCCAACAACTGAACTACTAGAACTTTAATGATATCTTTAAATGTATTACCTGTAAATTTCCATTACTATTCTGATCAGACTGCACAATTCCTTTATGGCCGTGTGGACTCTTCTTGCCAGGCTCTGTGGTGTACTCGCCCATGGACTGTGGTTTAATAAAAGATCTCTCCTTAAAATTTCTACTGGTGTCATCAACATCACTACTCCCTCTTGTGGGGTTTGATACTTGACTTCCCACCAAAGGCACGGGCTGAGGCTGCTGTAGACGTTGATGTATATCCGGGAGGTTAGTAAAGGATGATCCTACTATTTGCATTAGGCTCATGAAGTTGATCTGTTGCAGCTAGAATAGAATAAAAATTAAACATTTTAAAATATAGTGAAAAAATCTAAAGAATCAACAACAATCATCTGAGTATTCCACCAACAGTCATACTTCCATCTTAAAATCTGTCAGACCCATGAATGCTGAGCAGGAAGCAGAGCTGGGAGAGATTTTTTTAAAAAGGAAAAAATAATACCTTCCTATTTTCAAGGAGCTGTCAACTGTAAATATAAACTCATAATGAGCCTTGGGACTATCTATAAAGCACTTTACATAAACATCCCAGAGATCATAAAGGAGTGATCTGATGGAATGGAATGAGGATAATTAAAGAAGTCCTAAAATGAGTGTTTTCAAGAAAGAAAAAGCAAAGATTAGCAAACAGGTGAAGAGTGAGGAATTCCCCTGGAAAGGCAGACGAGGTGAAAGGCAAAGGCATGCACCAGTGGTTGACAAACTGCTACATGTTAGAATCACCTGAGAAGCATTTAAAATTCCCCATGGCCAGACCACACCCAGACCAATAAAATCAGAATATCTGGGGATGGAAGCCAGGATTAGTATTTTTTAAGATGACAAGGTGTCTCAGTGTGCGGACAAGCACGGGAACCACTAGCATAAACGCTGGCTTAGTGGAACAGGAAATTAATAGCAGCTATCATGAGAGGACAGGCAGTGCAGGAGTTCCCAAGCTTGAGCATGCAATCAGAATCACCTGGAGGACTTGTGAAAGCACTCTTTGCTGAGCCCCATCCCCAGAGTTTCAATAGGTCTGGGATGGGGCCTGAGAATTTATATTTCTAATATCTAAGTGATGCTGATGCTACTGATCCAGGGACCACACTGTGAGAACCACTGGACTTAGGAGTGTACGAAGGGAAAAGACGGAAGGTAAAAGCTGGTGGTGGGTCTTTCAAGCCCAATAGAAGAATTTGCACTTAATGAAACATACCGGTAGGGAAACACAGGTTAAAAAAAATGTAATTTCCCTTCAATTATTAAAAAAAAAAAATGCTGGGGCGCCTGGGTGGCTCAGTCATTAAGCGTCTGCCTTCGGCTCAGGTCATGATCCCAGTGTCCTGGGATTGAGCCCCGCATCAGGCTCCTGCTCAGCGGGAAGCCTGCTTCTCTCTCTCTCCCTCTCCCACTCCCCCTGCTTGTGTTCCCTCTCTCGCTGTCTCTTTCTGTCAAAAAAATAAATAAAATCTTTAAAAAAAAAAAAAATGATTACAGAAAAAAAAAGAAAATAAAAATCACTCATTATCCTATCCTCAAAGATAACTAGTACTGACATTTTTAGTGTATTTCCATTTACTCTGTATTTAGACTGATTTGATATTATACAAATTGGTACCTGAAATTTACTGAACATTTCAAACCAGGAAAGTAATAGTATTAAAACAGCGTCTGAAGAAGAATGTCTTGAGAAATGTATATATAAGACAATGGAAGGGGCGCCTGGGTGGCTCAGATGGTTAACCGTCTGCATTCGGTTCAGGTCGTGGTCCCAGGGTCCTGGGATCGAGTCCCGCATCGGGCTCCCTGCTCCTTGGGAGCCTGCTTCTCCCTCTGCCTCTCTCTCTCTCTCTCTGTCTCTCATGAATAAATAAATAAAATCTTTTAAAAAAAAAAGACAATGGAAGTATGAAGTTCTGAGTCTAAAGCTGGCTATTAGCTATAGAAATAGCAAGTACTGTACTGACATACAGTGTGGGCAAAAGAATCAGGAGGGCACAGAAGAACACTGGATATAGGTAGTGAAAAAAAGGCAAAGATGTCTCTCTAAGACAGTGATTCTTAATCCTTTGTGTGCGTCAGAATTATTTGGAGAATTCGTTAAATATACAGGGCAGCTACCAGCAAAGTCCCTTGGTAATCCAAAAAAAAATTTCAGAAATGCTTCCAAAATTTTAAGCTGATAGAATAGTTAATGCTACTAAAGGGAAAAGGGAAAGAAGGGACTGGGAAAAATCAAGATAAAGTCAGTTTCCATAAGTTTCATGAGACAGTGAGACATACTGAAAAAGTATTCTCATCAGGGCCCTTAGTTCAAAGAGAAAATTAGTGCCAAGCATCAGTATAAAAATGGTATATCACATAAAAGGATATGGAAGTGAGTGCAGAATACATGAATAGAGGATTAAATTTGAGGGAAATTAATGTTTAAGAAATAAAAGAGAAAAGGGAAATAACTTAAAATTGTTGGTAAGAAAAGGATAACCAATTGAGAAAAAGATGACAAAAATCAAAGCAAACAGTACTTTAAAAATGCAGCTGACAATTGCAAACCAAGCCAAAGTTCAGTTTGAAGATAAGAAATATATGTGACAGATTGTGTTAAAAAAAAAAAAACAAACTTTGGCTACCTCTGAGCTAGAGTCCGCTGGTCTGGTTTGACTGTCACCCACCTGACTTTTGGAGGCAGCTCTGCATCCCAAAGAGCTCAAGTGTAAGAAGTCATTGTGAGGGCGCCTGGGTGGCTCAGTTGGTTAAGCAACTGCCTTCAGCCCAGGTCATGATCCTGGAGTCCCGGGATCAAGTCCCACATCAGGCTCCCTGCTCAGCAGGGAGTCTGTTTCTCCCTCTGACCCTCCTCCCTCTCATGCTCTCTGTCTCTCATTCTCTCTCGCAAATAAATAAAATCTTAAAAAAATAAAAATAAATAAAAATTTTTTAAAAAGTCATTGTAAGAAGTAAGTAGCTCAGCCTGGACTCTAGGTCCTTGAGTTAGGAACCTCTGAATAACAAATGAAGAGTGCCCAAAGCAGAGAAACCAACCCTAAAATTTAATTTCGATTTGGCCATTTCTAAAAGTTTGTTCATATTTAAAATCCTTACATATATATCATACGTGTAGATTTACTTGTTTATAGGGAGATGTGCTTACCTGAACTAATTTAAACATTTCATCTTGGAGCATCTGCCTAACAGAATCTGAAGAATCTGGCAATTGAGCCCTGGGTTCATTTCTCTGGGTCTGCTGATGTGTTGGCCCAGGTGTTTGTGAAGCAACACTGACTCCATTTGATACGAAAGGTGGAGCTGAGGAAGATTTATCTTTAAATGCAGAGATCTGTGCACTAGGTGGAAGCATATATACAAAAAACACAATCAAGAAAAAACCAAATCAGATGTCTACAATCTGAATATTTTTATCTCACCTTTTTCTTCTAAAGGCTTTCTGGAAGTTTTCAGGAAATTTAAACCCTAAAGCTTATCACTCCATACTCCTTAGCCACCAGAAACATTTGTCATCAGCACAGTGCTCATGTGAATGCTGTTTTATTAAGGGAGATTTAACGTCTAGTCAGCCATGGTCCCTTCCCTATGGTGTTACAACCCAGAACAGTTCACACGTTTATTTGACTTGCCTGGTCCCTGCAAACATCTGAGTTTGAGACCATTACTCTGATGAGTTATACCAGGAGTATTTTTTGTTACTAATTTAATGATCCAGAATAGAGTTAAGAAAACTAGAGAAAGGGCGCCTGGGTGGCTCAGTTGGTTAAGCGACTGCCTTCGGCTCAGGTCATGATCCTGGAGTCCCGGGATCGAGCCCCGCATCGGGCTCCCTGCTCAGCGGGGGGTCTGCTTCTCCCTCGGACCCTCCCCCCTCTCGTGTGCTCTCTCTCTCTCATTCTCTCTCTCAAATAAAAAAAAAAAAATAGCATTTAAAAAAAAAAAAGAAAAAAGAAAAACTAGAGAAAGTATGGGTTTAAAAAAATGTTTAATTCTAAGATGGGTAGTGCAAACTCCTGTTGATCATTAAATGTGAAACAACAGCATTGTGAACATTTCATTTCCAAACAAATCACAAAGTTTATATTTATAATTAAACAGTAACAAAAAATGCCTACATAGGAATAAAAATTAAAGATCAAAATAAGTTTTTGGGTTTTTTTTAACTAAAATGATTGGGGATGATTCCTTAAATACAGCAGGTACTCAAATGTTTTCTAAGCAAATTGATTTCACAAACTAAATAAGGGAGCAGGTATTATTATATCCAACTAAATTGATCATTATCTCTAAAAAGAATATATTGAATCACATTTAGATTATTTGGGTTTACATTCATTCCCTTTCAGCAATAATATTTGCCTTTTATCAAGCATCTAATACTAATAAGCTCAGTAACAAAACTTTATTTGGCAAATCCATGAAAAACAGGCATTATAACTGACTTGCCTATTCTTTATTGTTTTTTTTTAAGATTGTATTTATTTATTTGACAGAGAGAGAGAGATAGTAAGAGCAGGAACACAAGCAGGGGGAGTGGGAGAAGGAGAAGCAGGCTTCCCACCAAGCAGGGAGGCCGATGTGGGGCTCGATCCCAGGACTCTGGGATCATGACCTGAGCTGAAAGCAGAGGCTTAACGACTGAGCCACCCAGGCGCCCCTCGACCTGCCTATTTTAAGACAACTTTATTGGCCTTTGTTTCCAACAAGTAGCAATGAGATAAATTCCAATAATGGAGAATTCTCCTAAAGTAAGGCTATGCTATGTTATCCTATTTCAGCAAAATTTCTAAATACTAAACACACTATTCTGTCAAAGAAGTTCAAAAGACAGAACTGGATGAATCTCTTCTATGAGAGAATTAAAAGCCTTTCATACACTATTAGAAATCTGTTAGAGGCTGAAAATAAGCAACTTTAAGTAATATATCCACTACAGTTGACCCGTGAACAACAAGGGGGTTGGGGGACCAACCCCCATACAGTCGAAAATCCACATATAACTTGACTCCTCAAAAACTTAACTACTCATAGCCTACAGATGACCAGAAACACTACTATAACAAAAACAGTTGATTTACATATTTTGTATGTTATATGTGTTACATACTGTATTCTTACAATAAAGTAAGCTAGAGAAAAGAAAATGTTATTTAGAAAGTCATAAGGAAGAAAAAATATATTTAGAATACTATATTGTTTTTATCGAAAAAATTTTGTAAGGGGTCCCAAGTGACTCAAACCAGTATTGTCCAAGGGTCAACTATACTTCTTTTTTTCAGAAAAGACTACTCTAGAATAGTTTCTGTATATCTAAAACATAGCCGTTAGAGGAAAATATTCCAATAATAAACTTAAAGGTGTCAGAAATGTGTACCTACATTGCTCTTCCAATGCTTTGTGTTGCTTTCATTTTACTATTAATTTTTAGTCAAAAAATTTAGAATTATTTAAAAATGGCACAGTAGACATCATCTCATTCTCTTATCTACTTGTAAAATATGATTATATCAAAATGGTAGAGTATACAAAAATTCTTACCTAGAAATTTCTGAACTTGTATCTACACAAAATGAATAAGGAACAGTGTGTTCAGGAATTGAAAAGGCTTCGATCATACTAGAATTAAAGATTAATAACTGATTAAGAAGATATTCTTCACATTTCCTAAGATACAGGGGATCTAATGCTCAACCATCTAAGAGTCTAAACATTCTCTAATCCTCTATAATGCTTAGCTCATAATTACAATCTGTTTATATTTGTCTCCATAGCAATTAGTAACAGATGTAAACAAAAAGCAAAGAATATGTCTGGATGACTGAACATATAACTTGAACACTGCTGACTGCCCAGCAGAAACAAAAGAATCTAACATGGGGAAGTTGAGGTTAGCTGGGACCTCAAATTCCACCTATAGCAGAAGCAGACACTTGGCTCAGAAACACTACAGAGCCCTCATTACATTTAAAACCGTAAAGATTAGTTTTTTATTAATAGAAGTATCTATTTGTAAAGGCACATCACATTTAAAATATCTTTTTGTTGGGCGCCTGGGTGGCTAAGTTGGTTGGGCGTCTGCCTTTGGCTTAGGTTATGATCCCAGGATCCTGGGATCGAGTACTGCATCTGGCTCCCAGTTCAGCAGGGAGTCTGCTTCTCCCTCTGCCCCTCCCCCCTGCTTGTGATCGCTCTCTCTCTCTCACACTCTGTCTCTCAAATAAATAAAATCTTAAAAAATATATTTTTTTAACTCTCCACAGAAATGAACAAAATTTTTATATTGAGAAGAGAAAGAAAACCTAATTATGTTGCCTCTGTTATCCAAGGTAGTTCTAAAATTCTAAAACTTCAAAAATTCTAAAAATTAAGAAGTCATGTCCCACCTGCAATAGATTAAAACTGCCTCTGGCTCTCCTTGAAGCAATAATATGCTAGCCAGGCGAATAGCCCTATAGTGTGCAGTAGTCACACCCTAACAGTGAACAATTACACAAACACATTGGGATTCATAATGGTTCTTTATTTGATCCAAGAAAAATGAAATCAATCTGACAAGGTGTTCCCCTAATTAGCAGCTGAATAAACTCTATTTACAGCTGTATTTTACTTTGATAAGGCTGATAGTGATGGGAGAACAAAAGGCATTTTAGATATCATTACTTATTTCACTCTACTAAGATTTAGAAGTCCATAATATTTACTGAAGATCATCATTTACCATTGCTATAAAGTTAAATTTCACTAGGAACACAATATCACCATAAAATATATATTGTATATTATGAGAAAAATAACCTCTTCAACAAATGAATCCCAGATGACAGTAACAATCACTTCCTTATTTCTCCCCCTTACTTACCCTTTCTGTTCACTTGATTTTTTCTCCATACATGTCTTCAATGGTTCTTCCCTTACACACTGAGCCTCTTCTGTGGAATGCTGTTAAAATTAATAGTACCCAAAAAGAAAAGGGGTTATATAAATAGGTATTACTGTCTTAGGTGTTCTGAGTTTCACATTAACCACTCACTTGGAGTAACAACAGTCTAAAAGCAAGGGAGAAACCAAACATTAAAATGAATTCCCAGTGCTGTTCTGATCAGATTTTTAACTGTGTGAATTGCCTTTGGCCCATCAGCCTGAGGCTCTGAGCATATTAAAATACAAAGACAAACGATGTCAGTGGAAATTATTTACGCTACATTTAAAAATACTCTGTAAATTACATATACCCATCACTACATGATTAATAAGTACAATCTGAAAACAACTATAAACAGGAAAAACTAATCCCTTTTGAAGGAATTTTTTCAGTAATTAGAAATGTCTGTGTTCCAACTGAAAATGCAGTGCAGTTTTGAGAAAACAAATAATGCATAAAAGTGATATATGTGCAAAAACTGCATACTACAGCTGAATTATACATTCTGAATATAGAACACTTCTATTACTCTTGATTAAGTTAATTTACTATAGCAGTTTATGAAATAAAAATTTCATTACCTAAAATTATTAGACATCTTACTAATGACAGAATTTCAGTGAAAGAAAAATGCTGCATGGTCTGGCTGTTCTCTACAACCCACAGTGTACTTTTAAAAAGATAATAGCCTTGGTTGAATGATTAAATAAAAACACTTAAGTATTATTTAAATAACATTATCCACTATTAATTGACTTACTTCTTCTAAATGCTGTGGTAAAGTCTGCATGTTAATGGCAACAGTGGAACTTTTAAGACTTCCAACAGGTTCTTTGGTACCTTCTATAGGGAAACAAGGAGAAAGAGAAAAGTGACCATTTGAAAAAAATCAGTTTAGGGCGCCTGGGTGCCTCAGTCGGTTAAGCGTCTGCCTTCGGCTCAGGTCATGATCCCAGGATCCTGGGACCGAGTCCCTCATCAGGCTCCTTGCAAAGCAGGGAGTCTGCTTCTCCCTCCCTCTCTCTACCCTCCCTTCTGCTTGTGCTCTCTCTCTCTCTAGCTCTCTCTCTCTCAAATAAATAAAATCTAAAAAAAAAAAAAAGAAAAGAAGAAAATCATTTTGTTTTTTTTTGTTGTTAACATTCCAAACATGTATAACCAATGAACATGGTCTAGGTTTCTTTTTATTGGTATTAACTTCAGAAACTTGAATACACAGATATTAAGCAGTATATTACCAGAAAGTTACAAGTAAACACAGATTATACATGCAAATTTCTGTTCAGAAAGGTCACATGTGCAGGTCTATGAATTAAAAGCATGCGTCTAGATTATGGCCAAACTGGTTTTAAATGCAGAAATGTAAAATTACATCTTGAAATATAAAGAGATGGTCTACACACTTCAAAAATCAAATGTTGCTTATACCAGATGTATGACAGCTACAGGATTCAAGTGACAAGCAATAAGATCTCAAGAAATTAATACTGCTCAAAGAGAATGGGAATATTTTTACATTTCACTGAAAATACATGGACTACTAGAATATGAAATCTAGCAGGAACTTAGGGGAAAAACTTACAAAAATCTAAAGCCAATTACTTAGTATTTCTTATTACCTAAAATCAGTTTACTTTTTATAAGGTTCAGGAATATTACAGGAAACAAGTATAATGGAAGAAATATTTTCTATCCTCCTTATAAAAAGTTTTTTAAATTAAATTCAATTAATTAACATATAGTGTATTATTAGTTTCAGAGACAGAGGTCAGAGATTCACCAGTCTTATATAATACCCAGTACTCATTATATCACAAGCCCTCCTTAAAGTCCATCACTCAGTTACCCCCCACACACACCCTCTCCTCCAGCAACCCTCAGTTTGCTTCCTATGATTAAGAGTCTCTTACGGTTTATCTCCCTCTCTGATTTCATCTTGTTTTATTTTCCCCTCCTTTCCCCCATGATCCTCTGTTTTGTTTCTTAAAATTCCATACGAGTGAGGTCATATGGTAATTGCCTTTGTCTGACTGACTTATTTTGCTTAGCATAATACCCTCTAGTTCCATTCATGTCATTGTAAATGGTAAGATTTCATTTTTTTTTGATGGTTGAGTGTATTCCATTGTAAATATATACCATATCTTCTTTATCTATTCATCTGTTGATGGACATCTGGGCTCTTTCCATAGTTTGGCTATTGTGGACATTGCTGCTTTAAACATTAGAGTGCAGGTGCCCCTTCAGATCACTACAATTGTATCTTCAGGGTAAAGACCTAATAGTGCAATTGCTGGGTCGAGGGTAGCTCTATTTTCAACTTTTTGAGGAACCTCCATACTCTTCTCCAGAGTGGCTGCACCAGACTGCATTCCCACCAACAGTGTAGGGGGGTTCCCCTTTCTCCACATCCTTGCCAACATCTGTCACTTCCTGACTTGTTAATTTTAGCCATTCTGACCAGTGTGAGGTGATATCTCATTGTGGTTTTGATTTTTTTTTTAAAGATTTTATTTATTTATTTGAGAGAGAGAGAATGAGAGACAGAGAGCATGAGAGGGAGGAGGGTCAGAGGGAGAAGCAGACTCCCTGCCGAGCAGGGAGCCCGATGCGGGACTCGATCCCGGGACTCCAGGATCATGACCTGAGCCGAAGGCAGTCGCTTCACCAACTGAGCCACCCAGGCGCCCGTGGTTTTGATTTGTATTTCCCTGATGCCGAGTGATGTTAAGCATCAACAGAACTGGAGAAGATATTTGCAAATGTCTTTTTTTTTTTTTTTAAGATTTTATTTATTTATTTGAGAGAGAGAGAATGAGAGACAGAGAGCACGAGAGGGAAGAGGGCAGAGGAGGAAGCAGACCCCCCGCTGAGCAGGGAGCCGGATGTGGGACTCGATCCCGGGACTCCAGGATCATGACCTGAGCCGAAGGCAGTCACTTAACCAACTGAGCCACCCAGGCGCCCAATATTTGCAAATGTCTTATCAGATAAAGAACTAGCATCCAAAATCTATGAAGAACTTATCAAACTCAACACCCAAAGAACAAATAATCCAATCAAGAAATGGGCAGAAGACATGAACAGACATTTCTCCAAACAAGATGTACAAATGGTCAACAGACATATAAAAATGTTTTTTAAAAACACCTAGAGACAACCCCTCTTCATCAAGTGGATTCAAGATAAGCCTTGAAAGACCTCTTATCAGTGTGTTTAACGCCATGCAAAGTTCTAAGAGTTTCTGTTTTATCAAAGACTGCCAAGGAAAGGTTCACAGAATTGGTTCACAAAAATGAAGAGGCCCATGATAGTTACATAATCAAGGCAAAAAGCCCAAGAACTGTAAATTCAGGTTAAGAGGTAATGTGTTCAACATTTCATAAATATTATGCTTTTTTTTTTAAGATTTATTTATTTTCGTTGGGGAGGGGCAGAAGGAAAGGGACAGAGAGAATCTCGAGCAAGACTGCCCACCAATCATAGAGCCTGCCGGAGGGCTTCGGTCACAAACTGAGCCAAAACCAAGAGTTGGATGCTTACCCAACTGAGCCACCCAGACATCCCATGCTCTCTTTTTGGTTTTAGGCAATTGTAAACATACTAATTTAGATACAAGACTAAATAAATTATCTCAGATAATCATTCACCAACTTCAAATTAATAAAAGCCAAATAAAAAGATTAGCCAAATGAACTGACCTTCATAGTCTGATAGGTGTATTTCCATTTCCTCTTGGTTAAATGTTTCTACTTCTAAAAGATCCTCATCAATATCTATAAATTCTTTTTCACTATCATCAGTAACAGAAATAATCTCATCTTTGGTTTCTTTTATTTCAGGATTATATGCTTCAGTTGGCATTCTATTGACAAAAATAGAATTATAACTCGTTCTTAGAAACAAAAAGCTTGCTTTCAATTGATTCTGTTTACTGAAAAGGAACATTAGGTTTCATATTTATAGTGTTCTGTTTTTTAACCATGTCTGGTACATAGTAGAAGCTCAATAAAAGGCTGTTCAATGAATAACTAAACATCCCCATTTTTATTTACTCAAATTACTGGAATAATTTCAACCTATGAAATCTGCCATTCTCACAAAGGAATCTTCCTGCTATTAAAAACTCAACCTTGTTATTCAAAGATACATTGCTTCATATGTAAAAATGGATGAAATGATTAGCTTAACTTCCTCTGACACAGGAAATTAATATAGTAAGAGAGGATCTCTCAGAATGAGAATTAGCTCCTCTCTCAGAAGATACAAGCTAGACCATCAGGGAAGAAACATATTTTGCAATTAATTGTTAAAGCACTTCAGAAAGTACTCACTTCCTCCTTCTCCACAGCTCAAAGAAATACTCATTCCTTTACCTTTTAAGAGTTCGATTCTTGCCGCTAAGCCCAAACACCATCAAACAGGTATCATCCACTGAAAAGGAATGTATACTCAAAAACTTACTTCAAGATACTTTGATGAGACTCATTTTGATCATTTCTTTCCTCAGTCCCACCTTGAGTGGATACTGCAAAAGAACAGCCAGCATCTGTTTTGCAATCACTTTCAATGTTGGGTCCACTCTGAGACTGACAGTAATGATTCTCTAGCACCTAAAAACAAACGATTTACATTAGTTAGCATTCACAATCGAATCCCATACTTTTCATTGTTTTTAGATTATTAATATTTTCTACAGACCTACTCCTGGTTAAATTTTTCATTCATTTATCAAGTATTTACTGCATTTCTACAACTCAATATTTGATGCTGAGGCAATGATCAAGTCTTTATTCCACCTGGAAAAAAACAAACCTGACTACCTAAATAGTATTGGAAAGAAATCAGCCTTATAAATTTGTAAGGGCAGGGGCACCTCGGTGGCTCAGTCAGTTAAGCACTTGACTTGATTTGGGCTCAGGTCATGATCTCAGGGTCCCAGGATTGAGCCCTGCATTGGGCTCTGCACTCAGCATGGAATATGCTTGTCATTCTCCCTCTGCTCCTCCCCCTGTGTGTGCTCTCTCTCTCAAATAAAAAAATAAAATCTCTAAAAAATATATAAAAATAAATTTTAAAAAACCCAAATTGGTAAGGTATGTTACCAATGTTTTCAAATCACAAAACAATAACACAAAATGTAAAGTTCCTTTCCCTTAACTCTTTTGGCTATTATAAAGGCACTTAGTAATTATTCCAATATGACACAATGGGTAAAAATAAATGCAGGTAAAAATATATGCAGCTAAAAAATACAGGGATGTATCTTTTTTAAGTCTCTTATTTAGAAATTTGGGTATGCAACACCTAGAAACACAAATTTCAGTGACAACAAATATCACAGTATCTTAAACTACCTTAGGGATAACAGACACTGATCTCAAGAAATGAAAAAGATCTCCCAAAAACAAAATATACACACATCCCCTGCGACCTAGAATAAGTTATTTTAGAATGAAGGCACTTTATTTTTTAATTTTAATTTTAATTTTAATTTTTAATTTTTTTAAAGTATTCTCTATACCCAAAATGGGGCTTGAACTCACAACCCCAAGATCAAGAGTCACATGCTCTACCACTGAGCCAGCCAGGCACCCCAGAATGAAGGCACTTTAAAATGGAATACAGTTCTCTCTCTCTCTTTCTCTCCCCACAAAACAAAACAAAACAAAATAATAAAATGAAATGAAAGAGGACAAATACAGAATTAGAATGGGTGGAGGTAAGTCAACCAAGATGGTGACATAGGAGGCTCCTGAATTCCCCTCCTCCCACAGACACACTGAATGTACCACTACACACAAAGCAATTAATGCTGAAAGAAATCTAGAAATTAGCTGATGGATTCTTACATATCAAGCAAATGAGAAAATATCCACACAGAGATAGGTAGGAAAGGCTGAGACACACTCTCACCATAAACCCCACCGGTGGCACAGCACCCTATAAGCAGGAGGGAACTCCCAACTTCACTCTGAGGAGTGAAGGGTTCGGACTCCACACTTAGCACTCTAATTTTTAAGATTCCCACTTGAGGGATGGGCCTCCAAACCACCTAGCTCTGAAAGCCAATGACGGTTGCATCCTTAAGTCCCACAAAACCATAGCAAACACAGCAGCAACTATTAACAGGTGCATGAGCACTTGTTACAGCTATCCCCAAAAGGCTCAGCACAGAGGAACAGGTGAAAACACCCATCTCCCAGTCTTCTCCTGGAAGGAATACAGCTGCATACTTCTAGGGGCTAGCTATGATACTCTGGTGACTGGGAAGCTGATGGACACTTCCCCTGCCTTCTCTCTCGAGCCCATTCCAAGTCACCAGTATCTCCCTACAAGCAGCCTGTACACACTCTTGGGTGCCCCAGCTTTTGCAGCTGCTGACTAAAGGACAGGTCCCCTGTCTCTGACAACCAGCTGGACTTGCATTTACGAGTCCCACAGGAATGTAGGAAACAAAGCAGCAGTTCTTAATGACTGGAGGAGCATCCCCCCTGTAGCTATACACCTCGGCCTACTTCACACACAGCAAGCAAAAATACCCATCTTACAGTTTCTCCCCAGAAAGGGCTTACCTACACACTTTGTCACATGTTGCCTGAGAGTCCAACTTCCAGTCACTGTATACCTAAATGCTAAATGTGCCCCACACCTTTGGGACACTGATAGGTCTTGGCATACCCTCAACTACTAGGAACCACTAAGAACAAAGAAGACTTAGACCATCACAAAGATTTCAGAGTCAACCAAAAGCTCAGGCAAAGCTGATTGATGAGGTTTATCTCCTACACAAGACCATTCTATCCAGCCTGGGAGATGTAGCTGCTTTATCTAATGCACAGAAACCAACATAGAATGTCAAGTAAAATGAAGAAACAGGAATATGTTCCAAACAAATGAACAAGATAAATCTCTAGAAACAGATCTTAATGAAATGGAAATAATGATATATCCTCATAGAGATTCAAAATCATGGTCACAGAGGTCAGGGGATGAACAAAGTGAAAATTTAAGTGATACATGAGCAAAGTGAGAATTTCAACAAAGAGACAGAAAATACAAAAAAGTAATAAATTACAGAGCTAAAAATAATTGAACTGAAAAATTCAATGGAGAAGTTTAAAAGCAGATTGGATCAAGCGGAAGAATGGATCAAAAAAGTCGAAGGCAGGGCAGTGGAATTCATCCAATCAGAGGAGCAAAAAGAAAAAAAAAATTTAGAAGAGTGAAGATAACTTAAGGAACTTACAGGACACCATCAAGCAGACAATTATATGCATTATAGTGGTCCCAGAGGGAGGGGAAAGAGAAAGGAGCAGAAAGCTTATTCTGAGAAATAGTAACTGAAAACTTCTCAAATATGAGGAAAGAACCAGACATTCAGATCCAGGAAGCCCAGAGAGTTGTAAATAATATAAATCCAAAGAGACCTATACTGAGGCACATTATAATTAAATTGTCAAAAGCTGAAGAACCTTAAAAATGGCAAAAGAAAAACTATTTGTTACATACAAGGAACCCCCTTAGTGCTATCAGCATATTTTTCAGTAGAAACTTTGCAGGCCAGAGGGAGTGGAATGATATATTCCAAGTGCTGGGTAAACAATAACTGCTAACCAAGAATACTCTACCCAGTAAAGTTGTCCTTCAGAATTGAAGGAGAGAGAAAGATTTTCCCAGGCAATCAAAAACTGAAAGAGTTCACGACCATTATACCAGCCTTATAAGAAATGTTAAAGGGAGTTCTTCAAGCTGAAACAAGAAAATTAATGGGTAACAAGAAAATATGTGAAAGTATAAAACCCACTGGTAAAGGTAAATATATAAATTCAGAATACTCTAGCGTTATAATAATGGTGGTGGGTAAAACACAACTCTAGTATGAAGACTGACAGAAGTTATTAAAAATAACTATAATAATTTGTTAATAAATACACAATGTAAAAAGATGCAAATTTTACTTCAAAAACATAAAAATGTGGGAGAGAGTGTAAAGATGTAGAGATTTTGTATGTATTAAAAGTTATCACCTTAAAATAGACTATTATAAATACAACATGTTTTATGTAAGCTTCATGATAACCATAAAGCAAAACCTACAATAGACATACAAAAAAAAAAAAAAAAAGCAGCAGCAGCAGCATATCTTTACAGAAAATAATCCAATAACAAAAGAGAAGAGCAGGAGAGGAAGGACTTAAAAAACAACCTGAAAAATACCAACAGAATCACAATATTAAGTCCATACCTATCAATAATTAATTTAAAGATAAATGGATGAGGGGTGCCTGGGTAGTCCAGTCAGTTAAGTGTCTGACTCTTGATTTTGGCTCAGTCATGATCTCAAGGTTGTGAGATCAAGCCCCGTGTCAGGCTCCATGCTCATCAGGGAGTCTGCTTGAGATTCTCTCTCTCCCTCTCCCTTTGTCCCTCCCCGCTGCGTGCTCTCTTCTTCTAAAATAAATAAATAATCTTAAAAGAATAAATAAAAATAAAGGTAAATGGACTAAATTCTCCAATCAAAAGACAGGGAGCATTCTCCTAACAGTCCTGGCTTAGGTCTGAGCAACTTTCTTTATTCTGCTTGACCTTGCACTACTACCAAAGCTGATCAGACTGGATGGTCACCTGACCTAAGCTGAGCCAATCAGTTTTTCTCAAAAATATGAATGCCATGGAACATAGAGCCGAACCACATTGGCCTTGGAACCATAAGGCTCTATGGAGTTAGCATCACAAGTAGTTACATCTTAGTGAAACTTGCAAAGGTCTAGATGAGCAGAAAAAGGGTCTCAAAAAGGAAGAGAGTTTACACAGAGAATGGAATATTCTTGCAAAGAGAAGTAGAAATGAGAGGTAAAGTGTTCCCCAAAATAAGGAGACAAAAAGAAGAGCTCACTGGTGACTCTCCAGTTGCCATAATGATCAGCTGTATTTCCTCAAATAGATTTCATAAGATTTACCTGCATCTTTCTGACAAATTCCTCATTGACAAAGAAAAAAAAAAAAAAAGGGAATGGTTGTATGGATAAAAAGAGGAAGATCCAACTATCTGCTGCCTATAAGAGATTCACTTAAGCGTTAAGGACACACAGAGACTGAAAGTGAAGAGATGGAAAAATACTCTATGCAAATGGAAATAAAAGAAAACAGGGGTAGCTATATTTATATAAGAAAAAAAACAGACTTTAAGCCAAAGAATGTAACAAGAGATAAAGAAGGACATTATATAATGATAAAGGGGTCAATCCATCAAAAACAATTAACATTAGCAAATATTTATACAGCCAATATAGAAGCAATTAAATATTTAGAACAAATATTAACAGGTAGGAAGCAAGAAATAGCAATACAACAACAGCAGAGGAGTTCAATACCACATGATAGATCAGATGGACATAACAGACATTTACAAAATATTCTATTCAATAGCAGCAACATACACATCCTTCTCAAGGGCATATGGAACATTTTCCAGGAGAGATTGTATGTTAGGCCATAAAAACAAGTCTTAATAAATTTAAGAAGATTAAAATCATACTGAGCATTTTTCCCAACGATATGAAACTAGAAATCAATTACAAGAAGAAAACTGTGCAAATCACAAATATAC